GAAACGTTTTCGGTTGTTGAACAATAATATTGGTTCACAACTACAGAACACCATTGAATACTCATATTCTGGCTCAAGGGCTGAGAACTTGCTAAATATTGGTCCTACCTCAAGTTTGGCCTTCATGATGAAATACCTACGTCGACAGTTCAGATCAGCACTAGTTCATACATAATAACGGACGTGCATCTTGTTGTAAACACACTTCTTTCCAGAGGTCAACGATAAATGTACTCCTTGCACTACGCATTCTTTCTAGTGATTTAATCATTAATGTAGTGTGAATACCGCAAGTGTTATTGTTAATTCATTGACTATCAATAAAAATTATAGCCTATTAGTTTGCAAGATATGCATAATTTAATACATCTTTTTTTCTAGAGGTCTGTATTATAATAACTCGGTATTGCAGAATTAGGATGTTTTGATAATAAAAATGGTCCTGGCTAATGAAACAGCTGATCTAAGTCAGTAACAAAGCTACAAAGATCATCTCACACTATTCTGCTAGTACTAATAATTTCATATTTGGGTTAAAATACGCACCTAGGTAGCGTCCCCATCTCAATTGATATTAATACTGATATTGTGAGTTGGTGATGCAATTATAACCTAATTAATGGTTTTTAATAATTTAATTTTTTAATTCAATAATCTCCACTATCTAATAAATTTACAATAACAATCTAACGTGTTTTCAACCTTCTCATTAAACACATTTTGAAACCTCCGCAAACATACGAGTATGAATTGCCAGTCGTTTCAAGGTCAATTAATTATCCCCCAATTATGTAGTAAAAGGTTGTCGTCCTTAAGTTTGTGTGTTTGGTACAACAAACAAGTCAACAATCCTTGAACTATTTTAAATGTTTGAAATTGATCGTTTTGGTGAAATACCTTGTGGAAAACTAAGTATTCACAGTTTGATAATAACTAATTCTATTCTCATTTCAGATTACAGGTTGTCTTTATTTGTATAACAAGCAAACCTTGTTATAAACACGTTGTTTTTAAAATAACCCATCACAAACATCTAGGAGCGACAACCGAGGGAATAATGTCTGCATTCACTTCGTTCTAGTGAATGGCGAATGAACCTAAGGCAAGATACAAGAAAGTCAGAAAGTATTTCACACTCGTCAAAATTCATACCTTTCCTTTTAGAAATTCAGAACAGCCATAAGAACAATGTGGCCATTATGATATTACTGTATTCGATGCAATCAAGGTGTGGGATTAACATTTTTAGGCGATTTCATTATTTTATTTGTCATTCATTATTGTGCTAAAATGGCCTAGCCTAACCTAGCCCAACTTAAAATATCATACTGTTTTTTTTGTTTATGTTTTTTATACAGATTCATCAAAGAATCGTTTCTAGCCAAACAATCTTAACTTAAACTATATGTAGATTAAGCTGGTAAAATTGTATGTGCAGTTTGAAGTATATAAGTAGGTATTCACTTAAGTAAGGTACCTCATGTCATTCATCAGATTTTCAATCAATAGCTAAAGTGACCACTCAATCATTGCTTGCTCCTACATATTAATATTTTATTTTGAGTTTCATAAAAAACGGTTTATAGTTTACATTAGCTTGCTCTTTTAGTTTATCATGATTATAACTGTTTCGTGTAGGGGAAAAATATTTTCCCGCACTCTGGTTTGAATAAATACAGTAGTTTACTTTTATTCTAAGACTGAACCAAAACTCACGTGATTAGTCTATAGTTTTCTACTTTGATCTACAGTCACAGCTTATACAGGACACTTAGTAAAATTAACATTCCAAAAGTGCCAAGTACATAACGTGAAATAAAATTTGCTATGTCACCTATTCCTAAACCTGGTCCTCCGGACACATACTTCATCAATCTGCATAGGCTACTTACTTATTGAAATACTCTAATATCATATTCATAGCTCGACTAGGAACGCGATTTCGTGAGCAGTTAGTTGGATACGTCGGTAATTTCAGACATCCTAGTATCGTCGGCGTCGCGTAGCGCCTTAACACCTCCGCTATTAACGATGATTTGTACAAGTTCTGGCTCCATCTCCAAGGCCACTGGCCAAGGGCGAAGGCCTAAGTGGCGCAGGAGGCCGATGACTGCGGTTGTGTGGTTTGTACAGCTTGTGGTAGCCAGTGCAATTTGAGAACGGGAAAGTTGTATTCAGGCTGAACGAATGTGTTTATTCGTTTTAACATGTAAATTAGGGGTTTTACTTTAACAATGTAATAATGGAATTTTTGCAGTACGGTCATATTAAGTGCAAGGGACACCAATGGTCTGTAGCCAAGTTGAAAGTGTGAAGTTGCAATTAAAAAAAACATAGATTTTAGGAAAGGTTGATCCTAAAATTTCATAGTTACAAAGTCAAAGCTGGCTCTTTCATTGTTACTTCATCAGGGCCCACAGGAGGGAATAGCCTACTCAACATGCTAAAGCTCGCAATCGTTTAATATATTACTTTTAGTTTGAGCCAACTTGTTCCTACTTGCATTTCAAAGAGTAAGAGTATTAATTAACCCACACTTGCAGAAAAATATTAAACACATCCCACTCAGGAAGCTGCGTACCTAATCAATTATCAATCATTGAGATGGTGACGTCTCCTAAGTTCGTATTTTAACCCAACATAAGTGAAGGGTGAAGAATAATGTGAAATGATCTGTGTCGCTTTGTTACTGACTAAGATCAGCTGTTTCACTAGCCAGGATCATTTATTTGAAGCCCAACGATCAGGGAAAGCTGCTGATATATCGAAGATTACATCCCTGTGTACACACTGTCCATTAAATAGCCAATCGTAACATAATCCAGATTGTATTCAGTGAGATCTTATTATACCTTAGCTAACAGAAAGTTTGGAATGGTATCAACATTTCTTGTAATATCAGCATTATTAAACGTCCTTGACTTTATTACAGTGGGATCAGAACAATCCTCTTTTATTCTGCATTGCCTATAACACTTTTGTGTGTTTAGGAAAATAAAATATTTACCCTACTGAAATAAAAATTTGAAGGAAGCTCCTTTGATGATAAGTTTTCATACCTCCGGAAACATAACATTGACTAAAAACAGCCCAACACTAACACTAAACATTCATTGGACTCCACGACCATTCAATTCATTATGTTACACCATAATGATGCTTTCCATCACTATGGTGTAACACACTCCTAAAATTTTATTATTTTTCAGTTTAAATAATTGTCTTCAACCACTCTGCAGAAAGCTACTTTGGTCGACCGGCAGTTTTGCGAAGACAAAAACAAATTTCGCCGTATTTAGTTTCGGGGAAAACCACCTCTGACGCAGTACTTAGTATTATTAGCACTGTATTTTTCCAATGCATCAAGATGTCTTACAAAATTCCAATTTTATTTCGGAACATCCTTAATTAAACTCGGTTTGCTTCAAAATTACCATTCCCGTTGATTCACCTATCCACTACACAGGCTCTAGCCTAACCTAACCCAACCTAAAATAACAAAAATCTTAAAAGGATTTGTAGATTATAGCATTTCATCCTAAAACAAAACAACAACAAAAAACTTAGTGGTAGCAAATTAATGGAAAAAATCACAAAGACGTATTCTGTTACAATCACAGTCGGCTATAATCAAAACGTATCCTTTCAGCAAATTATAAACCTCATAATCCAACCTTGAATTATGCGTTCCTTGTTCCTAGGACCAAAATATACTAGAATTTAGAGAACAAAGAAACAGCTGGGGACTAAGACGGGGTTAGCTGCACTTCCGGTTACTTTAATCTTTGAGAAACAATTCAATTGTTTGTGAAAGAACAAATTACTTTCGTGAGATTTGAGGTTTCACTTTCTTGTTTAGTCAAAGCCGAGTCAAGTCCTATTCGTCTTATTTCACAACGCAGTGACCAAAAATGTCTTAAGTAGGTAAATGAATCAGTTTGACGCCATAAAATATTTCATTATAAGTACTGCCTAATTATTATTATGCCTTAATTCTAACAAGGGCAAGATAACGGTGTGTTGTTGATATATTTGTCGATATATGTGCAATTCAATATCTTTTAGTAAAAAGTGTAGTATTCCACGATTCTTGTATTTATGCTTTGTCTTTAAATTTTGATGCATGTAGTTTATGGTCCAATACTTGCAAAAATTTATTTGAACTAAATTGTTTTTGAACTGTAAGACAAAAAATTATCAACAATTTTACAAATTTGGAAATTTTTCTAAAATACTTTTTACTCAAATCCTCAAATTATTATAGACTAATCAGTCCCAAGAAGCACACTAAACTATATTAATCAAATTTCCTTGTTTAACAAGCAATCGTTTTGCGGTACTTATGATGAATTTATTCTATATCGGATTTCTACATCACATTTTACACAATTTCCACGTAAAGTCTAACAGTCGTTATTTTAGTTTTTTATTGCACAGGGTGTCCACATTCTGGAAAGTCGGGATAGTCATTGAAAGTCATGGAATTCCCCAATGATGGATGGATTTGAGGGGACCATTCAATGCCCTAGTCTAGTCGTTATAGCATTTTTCAGGATTTTTCCCAAATTTTCGACAATTCAATTTATTACAGTTGTATTATTTTATGAGTTTTGAGTTTTTTTTTGTACATTGTTGTGCCTATTAATTGTACTCCATTGTTATCTGTTAATACATATTTCAGTATTTTCTGTCAAATAAAATGTCTAGGCAGTATTATTCGCGTGTGTACGTTATAGTATAATTTTCGAGTAAAGTTCGTGAGTCATGGAAATCGATGGTAAATGGTCATGGATAGTCATGGAAAGTCATGTAAATTAACGAAAAATTTTCTCATACGCATAATTCGTCCATTCCATTTCCCACTCCACAAAACTGAAAGAAATTAATTCACCGATATTCAACTAATTATTTATAACAATTTACGATTAAATTTGCCTCCATAATCCCTACTTGAAACATATTAGACATGCAACACAATACACTATTCTATTCGAAGTTACCTGTGACAACAGCCTGTATAGGTGTCGGCTGTTCCTCTGTGGACCTGTAGAGAGGAGCGATGCTGCAACACGACATGACGATGACGCGGGTGTACCTTGACTGGCTGACTACTGGTCAGTCTGGAGTCCCCTCCTACACGGCGACCTTGAGTCCTGCCGGGGACCGCGGGGCGAGTACCGCATCGTGTGCGCGGTGTTGTTGAAATGGTGAAACTCTTATCAATATAATCAAGTGTTGCAACTGTTATGGATCCGTATAGATTTAACGTTATCTGGAGGGTGCAAATCTTAGATATTGATAGTTAAGTAAACATTCCCACGAAGTCTTAGAAATAAAAATAACCTGGATTTAGCAACTGCAGGAGCTGTTGTAGAATATTTTTAGAGAATTATACCCAAATATTTTCACTTAACTGTGAGGAGAACACATTGTAATCTCTAAAATAATTTTCATCACTCCGTAACGAAAGTAACTATTTTCGATAACAGCTGACATCAATGAAAGTAGTCGTTTCCTAAGCTCTAATTTAGGGCGAGGGAAAATCGATCAGCTGATTATCTCTATATTTACTTTTTCCCTCGCTCTCAATTAGTTCTCCATTTTTATTCTCTACGCGCTAGTGTTTGTTGCAGTTTAATTTAATGATTTGAATCAGCTGTATGTATTGTTAAAAGTTGTTTTATTCTTTTATTTTCATGTATAAACAAAATTTATTGAGAAATATACATAGGTTTCCTGTGTTTCTGTATTTTTGCGTCGTGATGAAAAGTATCGTTCATAACTCGTACCGAAAGTTATTATCCGATATTTGCTCCATTATTCCCGTCCTCGGCTTTGCCTCGTATGTGAAAATAGCTCTCACATACTCGGCTTCCACCTCGCACGTGAATTTGGGTTTTCCTGTGTGAGGCGAACTCACACAAAAACTTGAGCGCGCGACGGAAAATGCCACTTTCGGTCCTAGTAATGAAATATACTATTTCCCTCGTTTAGCATAGAACGAAAAACTAAGAGAAGAACTAGAAAGAATTGTTAAGCTTTAAACTTATAATGATTTTTTTAAGTTAATAAATTTGTATAATTCTTGTATTTTTAAAATAACGATTCAGTCACACTATATGAGAGGCTAATTTAACTGGTTATGGTTAAAACACCCCCGTCTGACCAAGTGAATTTCCATTTGTCTGATTGGATTTTGTTAAAATATTTCCTTCAACTTGTAGGATTTATTTGCTATTTAAATACCACTAAATTGTATTCTAGGTTTGCTGCTAAAAGGGAAGAAAAAAGTGTTTTTTTTTTATGTTCAGAGTACTTAAGTATGAAATAAATTAATTTGAAAAATGTCATTCAAATATATCCATAGACAAGCAAATTACAACAGTTTTTTCTCCGTAAGAATAAAATGGGACTTTAAAATGCACATTTAAAAAATTAAATCCGTAATCTGTAATTCTATAACAGCGCTTATAGAATAAAGTATAAAAAGTATACACGATGGTTTTGATAATAAATGGGTATTTTTAAGAGTAAACATTTTTTTAAACCCTATAACACCCTTGTTTTTGTGACTTGATCTTGCTGGTTTGTGAACTCTTTCAAGTGTATCCACACAGAGTGTATCTCTACTCGTTTGTGCCAAATTTAATCAAAATTGGACCAAAATTACTCGAGTTATTGTGTTCACAAACACACTTTTAACACAGAGGGTGAATATTGTTAGGTGTCCAGTATTTATTTCAGACAAACCCTTCTTACAATTATGATATGAAATGTTTTCCCATCAAAACGAAGAATGGTAAAAATTGTTTTTTGTTTTATACTAAATGTACCAAAAGCAGAGGTTAACCAGTTCAAATCTTACAATTGACAGATACAAACATATAGCGTATATATACATATATATGTATATACACATAACATGGGTGTATAACATGTATATACATGTTTTAAAGCTATTTTTGATACAAACATTATGGATTGATCAGAATTTGGCTATTGTTATTGTTTTTAAAATGGTGGCTCTTTATGAGGAAAATATTGTACTATTTTGAATATATGATGTATTTTTATTCTGGCCAAAATTTCAAATTCAGGGTGTGACAGAAGGGAAGAGCAGACAACACAAAGTATTTTATTATCAAATTATTGGCATATCAAATGTAATCATATAACCCATGGAATTATTACTTTGATTGGAATCTGCTTGGGAGATCTGGAGAAAATATGAGAAAAAATACAACTTTCGATGCATTTATTATAAAACATTTTTTACATTTAACAAACACTCTTAATTACTCACACGTTTTTCAGCTACAACATACAATAATTTATGTTAAAGTTATACAACATAACTATGAATATATATAGAAAACAAACAATGAAAGGTTACTTAAGACAACTGTGTTATGATTATTAGCGAATTTCCCATATAGGGAATAAGCTATTACCGTAGTACTCATGGTAAGACCTGGACGCGGGACCGATTTTTTTTTTCGTTTTGAGGTCCCTAGAGGCCAAAAACACCATCCGTTCAAATTCATATATATATATATATATTTATATATTTATATATTTATATATTTATATATATATATATATATATATATATATGTGTGTGTGTCCGTTAGCACGATAACTCAAGCAAAAATGATCCGATTTTGATGAAATTTGGTACAAACGTGTAAACCTACGTTTATTCGAACGAGTTTGCGATCCAGCATGATCGGACCATGGGAACGGGGGTTTACGGGGGGTATTATGGGGTAAAAATAGGTTTTTCCCATTTTTGACCCAAAAAACATAAAATTTAGCAATTTCTTTCCAAACCATTTTGTAGAGCTTAAAAAAACAAATAATTTAGTATATTGAAGCGTTATTATGCGCCTAATGGTTACGGAGAAAATTCCAAAAAATTGTAAATTTAAAATTCCCATGTTATTCTTATGGAGAATAAGTAAACTGTTGTAGTTTGCTTGTTTATGAACATATTTTGATCAAATTTGGAAAATGTTTTTATTTCTTACTAACTATTAACATTTTACAAAAAATTACAGTTTTACCCTCCCTGATGCAGCAAACCTAAGTACTTGTTAAACTAATTCTATTTAAATAGGGAATAAATGTTATATTTTTAGTAGACATTTCAGTGTAAATCCAGTCAGTCAAATGGAAATTCGCTTAGTCTGCAGGTTTGCTGCGGCGGGGGTATTATTACTTTTAATAGCACAGTTTCAACACAATGATTATAGCACTATTACCTATATATTATGAACTTAAATTGATATGTTTATCTAATGGTTAGCAAACTTTTTTAAACATACATTCATAATTTTTCTCATCTTTACTAAGTAGCTTGGAAAGACATTATTATAACTTCTAAAGATCCTTCTCACCGAAAACTTTTATTTCTGTAACAATAGCAAAGGAATATAAAGTTAAATGTTTAATTCTTTGAACAATTCTACCTAATATTCCATTCCCATGGTAAAGTTGTAGCTGAAGTAGTTGCAGTGAGCTACCAAAAGAATGTGCTGATGTTAATTGCTGATTTTTGTCCAATATGCAGATTTTAAGTTAAACTGATAGGATGGCTTATTGTAAGCTAAAGCATCTTTTATGTAACGTCTGACTATTTCAGTAACAAAAATAAGGTAAAAACAGAATTTTAGACCTAATAGAATTAAATTTTTTTTACGCAATATGTGACTGGCTCACACAATTACATTCTTTTTAATAAAAAATTGGTGCCAGCTGGTCCATATAGATGGGATGTCTACTATAGTATACAATAGTCAATGGTTCAACCGAGAAGATTAAGAATTTGTAAGACTTGAACACACATGAGGACGCTATGGGCCCAAGAAATAATTTCGCCCCTCCCTTTTCTCTTCCTTAACCTAAAATCTCTTGCCCCTTGGACCTGGGCCCGTCGCGCCCATTACTGAAGCGGCCCTGCCTTACACAAAAATACTGCTAAAAAGTTAACAAGCTTCAACTATTATCACAGATAGAGGTTTGGTCTAAGCTAATCAGCTGTTATGCCAAAGATTCAAGTATCGTAGCTATGCTGGCCTGAGTGCCAGCAGTGAGAGCTACGAGCCACATAAGAACCAGGAAGAGGTTCTTGTAGAGGACCCAGCGGCAAGGACCCATGTAGTCCGGGTCTTCCCAGAAGGTGACAAGTTCTATGAGTGCCGGAAACAACAGACCCAACGTGGAGTAGCAGATGGCACCTACCAGACCTACGAAAGGCTCTAGCTCCGGCACTATGGATGCTACGCAGACTGAAACAAAAATAAATGTTTCTGAACTCGTTTTTATTGAGTTGTGTAGAAAGAATAGCCATACTTTATATAAAAGACAACAGACAAATATATTCCTGCATGATGGAACATGTCTTCTGATCTGACCCTACCTGGGCCTTAAACTATTGCCCAGACCCAAGGTAGACGAAGGGTCAGTAGACAGGTTGCATTATACAGTCTATAAGGACATGAGACATTTAGATATATAAAAAAAAATTCTCAATGTATGAATGCTGAAGTTAACCTAAAATTAAATTAAAATGTAGCCAGAATCCTAACAAATACCAATCCATCAAAAGTCTTTAAATCGTTTGATAATCCTGCAACTTAGGCCCATATCATACGAGCGCTATCGCCATTGCGTTGATGCAGTCGCGTTGATGCCACTCCAACCGCAGTGGGGATCTTATGGAGCTAGTCATACAGATGCTAATACCGTCGGCGAGTCCGAGTCAGCCGGACGCTGAGCGCTGTCAACGTGGACGGTCGCGTCAGCGACGCAGCCTTTGGTAACAGGGGAACCCTGTCGCATTTGCCACGCGACTACTGGCAGAACAACTGAATGACCTTTTTGGAGTAACCATCATGTTTGACAAAGAAAATGTATTTACATACAGTTGAAAAATTTCAACTTAGATGAATTTGTCCTGTGCCCTGTCGACAAACGTGAAGAAAGCACAGGATGGGGTCTTGGATTCTTCCGATAATAATCTTCAATAATGTGCAAAAGGCTTATACAATCCAAACGGATGGTGTCCATCCTGGAAATAAAATATGTGTCGCGACTGCAAATGCGCCTGGAAGACGCTACCTATGACAGGCACTAGGCGGAGACGGGGCATGGATCAACTCGACGCATTCGCCGTCACGTATGACATAGACTTTTTTGGGCACTACCTCGACGGCAATAGCGCTCTTAGCCTTACAGTTTCCAGGCTCCAACTTCATTGCAATAGGATATAAATGAAGAGGTGAAATAAGTTGCCTATGTTATAAAGATAATAACTTGAAGTTTTCCCAAATTACATCCCTTGGTCTAAAAGAAGAGAACTCACTGTCACTGAAGCTTCCATTCACAACTACTTTACAACCAGCTTATACATTTATACAAATAAAAATGTTACCTACAATGTCAAATTTATTTTTTTATTGCTAGATGGCTAACTGACATCTTGTTTATAGTTTAAAAAGATATATTTCATACTCACTGCTACCAATGATGAGGGAAACCCTCATGACGTAGTAAGCGATTGTTTTATTCTCTTTTCTCACTTTGGATTCAAGTTTACGCCAGACAACTTCGCAAGGAACGCAGAAACACAGTCCAAACGAGAACAAGACATTGAGGCACACCATCAGCTTTACCACTTCTCCTGCACTGAAAATTCAACATTCCTTGCTCATCAAACTTGCAGATAAATTGTGACAAAAAGAAAAAAACTATTGAAAATGTATTACATTGTATGAGGTAACTCTGAATATGATTGACTTTACTTAAATGTGTTTACTTTTTGTGTTTTATTTATTTATTTGACTCTATCCCTCCCAATATATATATATAGGTATATATAGTTAATACCTATAGTTATACTTAAGGTAAAAAATGTCACATCTCCATGACTTCTGTTTTTGAAAGTATAGATGGATTTTTTTCTAAGAGGTCAGTGGCCTCTTTTACCCTGTGTTTGCCCATCTACTAAGTAACAGATGCCTGTGCATGGAACGTATTCAGTAAAGCAAGGGCTGACGCTGACAGGTAAAATACAAGGGTAAACTGTACTGATAAAAAGTAGTGGCAGGTTTCGAGCCCACGACATATCACTGCCTTTGGCCCGAAGTCTGTGGCGCTACTCACTGAGCCACTGACTCAATAGATAGAATTAAAACTATGGATATGATGGATATTAAAATGGTAATTTGTATCTAAATCCGATGCAGAGGGACTAAAATAGATTGTTTGTCAACAATTACCCAGACAATACTGGAAGGTACTACTGTCATAAACAAATTACCAAATGAATTCCTGATAATTGCTTTACCAGCCAATTAGTTACAATCAATTTGTATGCTAATTACTCTCAGATGTTGTGAAATATTCAGCATTGATTGTTCCAATAATGCCTTACTTTGGGATTTCCAAGGCCTTGCTTAAGTAGACAAAATATTCACGCTCTGCATTCCAACAAATTGGTGTTTAATATACGCCAGGACCTTTGATCTTCGACTTTAAAATGTTTTACAAGTAAATGCTGCAATTACCGATTCTTGTATTTACATAGAAGTATAAGCTTACACTGTCTTGCCGAGATTCAGCGTAACACTGCCCTCAGTTGCATCTCCGTAACGAAGATACCCGAAGAAGCCCATGATGACATATAAGAAGATCAGGAGTATCATGGAGGCATTTAAAACTCCAGGGCAACCAAGGAAATGCTTTGGTTTTTTCATCACATTTTCAATTGGGAATACCTGTAAAAAAACTATATAATTATTGGATTATTCTCCCAATAATAATGAGCATAGAAGCGTATTTAAATCCTACCAATATTCTAACCAGATGTTTGCTAATTGTTCTATTATTTCTAAAATGCCTTCTAAAAACTAGTTTTTATTATTAGAAACTGGACCCATGTCCTTGGTCATTGGGCTTTTAATTTATTGTCCAGCATGGCTAAAGAATAGCTGGGTCTTTGTCGTTAACAAAGACACAATTCATCTTGATCACATTTTACGCTCATCCTTCACTCTTATTTGGTTCGATCCCTAATCATATCCCCAAATAAATTTGTAGTAATAATAAATTAGTGCTCCTGAAAATCAATTTTTTTTCTAAAATAAATATATATTATATAACTTTGTCAATTATATCATCTATAACCTTTTTTACTCTCGGTAATTGTTGTAGGCCTTTGATGTTTGTTAAATATCCTGAATTAAATTACTCATTCACCAGTTTCAATAAGGTTGAAAAAAATTTCGTTACATATAAGACAATTTAAAAACGTAAATACACCATCCCCAATTCTCAATGCCAACCTCAATGCAGCTTGGCTACTATTGATAAATCCATTTTCCAATTTATATTTACTCACAGAAAAGTAAGGTACAGACACATATGGTACACTCAAATGATATCTAGCACTAGTCACTGGTGTCTAGGGCAAAGTCCAACACCACCCTCCACCCTCATGTACTACAATGCTCACGATGAAGACCCGGTGCCAGGTGCAATAGAAATTCCTGTACAGTATTTGTCATTCAAGCTCTTCCTTGCTCGTCACAAGTAGGCCTATATTTCTGGCACAACATCCTATAGCTGAAAGCGCAAGTCCCATAAGAGAGTTTGCTCTTTACCTTACTTGTCTGTGATTTACTTCCTATTACTACATACTTTGAAATTATTTAGAGATAAGTAAATTCAAACCTCTGTTCAAAATGTATTTAAATTTACCAATTATACTTACAGTTCCGATTCCCTCCAAGGCGAATAACACCGTAGCGTAAAAAAGTGGCAGTTTCTGAATAGACGTGAATGCTGGTCTTGAGTCAATTGGAGGCAGATCAATGAAGACATCGTAGAGTACGAAGGCACAGCCAAACAAAAGACAGAGGATTGCAATGAATGAGAAAGGCACGAGGTACTTGATGTAGCGAACACTGCCGACGGGAATGATAACTACTGCGGTCAGTAGAACGTAGTAGCGAGAGTTCAAGCTGACGTCTACGTATGTCTCAATCACCTGTGGGATATCAGATTTTTAGAAAGTTTAAAAAGCAGGTTAGACTGTTAGTGGGGAGGCAAATATAGTAAAATATGTAAAATAACAAAGTTGGCTCACCCCGAAAGGTAACCGGTGAACACTATGCTAGATGATATTATATAGTAGTAGAGATGATATTTTGACCGGTGTTCACTCTGTATGAGTGGGACTCTCTTTTCTGGACGCCATTTTCCAAAATGGCGGATGTCACTGTTTGATCTTTGTATAACTCGAGCAAAAATGATCCGATTTTGATGAAATTTGGTATAAACGTTTAAACTTACATCTATTCAAATGAGTTCGCGAATCAGCATGATCGGACCATGGGAGTGGGGGTTTATGGGGGGTTTTATGGGGTAAAAATGGAATTTTCTTATTTTTTGCCCCCAAAACACAGAATTTTCCAATTTCTCTCTAAACCATTTTAAAGAACTTAAAAAAACACAAATAATTTAGTATATTAAAGTTTGTATGTACCATTATTGGTTACGGAGAAAATTAAAAAAAAAAATAATTTAAAATTCCCATGTTATTCTTATGGAGGATATTGTCAACTCTTGTAGTTTGCTTGTTTATGGATATATTTTGATCAAACTTGGTAAACTTATTTATTTATACTAAGCTATTAATATTCTACTAACATTCACACTTTATTAGCCTCCCTGTAGCAGCAAACCTAGGTACTCTTTAAACCTAATGCTATTTCAATTCAACTAATTTAAAAACAAATCAGGCAAATGGAAATTCGCTTAGTCTGCAGGTTTGCTGTGATGGGGGTATTTTATTCTTGACATTTCTTCCTAAACCTACTGGTTCAGGAGATTTAAAAAGCAGTTAGTTAAAGTTAGGATTTCCTCAATGATAAATACATTGATCCGTTTTAACTGTCACCCTAATGTATCCCGTTGGGCCGTCGCACTTTTCTATATATACAATTTATCTTCTATTTTTAAAAATAATGGAGTTATACTATTTCCTCCTCATTGTCCTGATTTGAATATATATTCTTACATTTCTCTAGAGAACATCCACACACTTTGAGACATACAAACAGCTCATTCAGTGCGGATGTACTACAGATTGTTCTCGATCTAAGTGTGTGTGTACAATAAACAAGCTACCATGTCTCAAAGTCCTGAAATATATTCCTGGATGTTCTCTAGAGAAATGTAAGAATATATATTCAAATCAGGACAATGAGGAGGAAATAGTATAACTCTTGAATATATATTCTTTTAAATGTATACTAAAAGGTGAGTTAGACCCTGCACAAAGAACCTTTTACTAGTGTTTTCATGTTTAATGGGAAGAAATATAATTATTTATGTTTAAAGAAATATTGTTGTAATAACTGACAATAATTAAATAAAAGTTAATTTAATGTCTGATTGTATTGGGGTCCATTATTTTTAAAATAGAAGATAAATTGTATATATAGAAAAGTGCGACGGCCCAACGGGATACATTAGGGTGACAGTTAAAACGGATCAATGTATTTATCATTGAGGAAATCCTAACTTTAACTAACTGCTTTTTAAATCTCCTGAACCAGTAGGTTTAGGAAGAAATGTCAAGAATAAAATACCCCCATCACAGCAAACCTGCAGACTAAGCGAATTTCCATTTGCCTGATTTGTTTTTAAATTAGTTGAATTGAAATAGCATTAGGTTTAAAGAGTACCTAGGTTTGCTGCTACAGGGAGGCTAATAAAGTGTGAATGTTAGTAGAATATTAATAGCTTAGTATAAATAAATAAGTTTACCAAGTTTGATCAAAATATATCCATAAACAAGCAAACTACAAGGGTTGACAATATCCTCCATAAGAATAACATGGGAATTTTAAATTAATTTTTTTTTTTTTAATTTTCTCCGTAACCAATAATGGTACATAAAAACTTTAACATACTAAATTATTTGTTTTTTTAAGTTCTTTAAAATGGTTTAGAGAGAAATTGGAAAATTCCGTGCTTTGGGGACAAAAAATAAGAAAATCCCATTTTTACCCCATAAAACCCCCCATAAACCCCCGCTCCTATGGTCCGATCATGCTGACTCGCGAACTCATTTGAATAAATGTAAGTTTAAACTTTTATACCAAATTTCATCAAAATCGGATTATTTTTGCTCGAGTTATACAAAGATCAAACAGTGACATCCGCCATTTTGGAAAATGGCGTCCAGAAAAGAGAGTCCCACTCATACAGAGTGAACACCGGTCAAAATATCATCTCTACTACTATATAATATCATCTAGCATAGTGTTCACCGGTTACCTTTCGGGGTGAGCCAACTTTGGAATTTTGGCCATTCGCCTCCCCACTATGTCAAATATTGTGAGATGATCACATCGTTGAATTGGCAAAAATACTCGCCGTTGTTTTGATGGGTTTAGCAATTGATCTTCACTTTAATTGAACTGCCGTAACAAATCCTAATGTTAACTTTTTTTCCAGTTTAACAACACTGTCATCTCACGAAGAACCCCAAAAATATAGTTTAAAAGTGTTCAGCATTGGGCATGCAATCGGTATACTCATTTTGTTTTGAAATTGAACATCTTAAAGTATGGTTGAGTTATTTATACAATTATATTTTGGGGGTTGTGTTGGGGTCATGTACAGTGTTAGGAATGGATATAAATACAGTGCTTTTATGTAGATTCAATATTATTCTTAAGTACTTTAGATGTGTGCTTTAAGTTTTGATTGCATGGAAATTAATGGGCTGGCACATGTGTTCTTTCTCTTGGAAAAGTTGTCGTGTAATCTATCCCAAACACATATCCTGAGACATTTTCCTGGGATTTTTTAGAATGTAATTTGTTTTAGATGGAGCCATACTTATAAATGCCTAAAACCTTTTTAAACCCCAAAACCAATGCTAAATTCGAGGGAGAACGCGGCGGAACAGAGTTCCAGTACCTCTCTTTTGGAAAGATAAAAATATTGGTATAAATAGGTGCATAAATAGCACTAATTATATTAAATAGGTTACAGTTCCATCACCTCAATTTTCACAAATCGAGCACTGCCCAAAAGAGTTTTAATTATCGCCAGCATCATTGGATTCTCACCCACAGACGCCGACCTTTCATCAATATTTTATTTGTAAAATTATATTAAAAATTTTTATATTATTTTTAAATAAATATTAACTTAGTTAATAAAGTACTTACCTGTTTAAAAGATGCAGCAATGAAAACGATATACACAGTGCAGCCGAAGTAGTACGTTATCATCAAAGCACTGTCCACAAACTCCCTAAAAACATATGTTTCCATGTAGTTTAAGATATTGACATTCAGTAATATAAATATGTTTCATTCAAGTGATCATGTACCATAGGGTAATTTGAATCAGGTTTATTATATTGACAATGTATAAATACCAAGAACTTGATCTTATAAATCATACTATTCACACTCAGGAATTCTATCCTACAAAAAAAAGGTAGCCACATTCTCAAAAGGTTTCAAGAATCAAGCCACTACTTCCGTTGGAGTATCCCTTTGATCCTTATCTTTTCTCAAATGTAAAAAAATTACTCTGCAAATAATTGAGTCTTAAATTAAACTATAGACAAATAGAATAAATATAGACTGTCAAAGGAAGGTTCCGCGATATGCCGCTCTCGGGTACTCGATTTGCTGCCGTCGTCGGCTCCTCGTCGTATGTTACCAGCAGACGCTGCAGCGGTGTGCGCTGTAACTACACGGCATTCCTATCGGTGTACGCTGACGGTCTATATTTATTCCATTTGTCTATGGTTAAACTAAGCCATTTTGAATATAAATTTTTTTTTTAATAATAGTTTATTATACTCACCGAACAATTACAGAGTATTTCCGCAGCCGTTTAGGTCCAGTGGCAAAGGCAGCCTCAGCTGTGGCCGCATATCCTAAACTCGGCTGCTTCACTTTCTTAGACAGTGTTTGGGAACAATATACCTTAAAAAATAACATATTATGTTTTTGATTGCTCACCCAGGGGGTGGTAAAAAACAGCAAGGTTTAGTTTAAAAAATTGAAAATTTTCTTGATACTTTGAGTTCTTTTTTATAAGACTATAATGAATACTGGACATTGTGATTGAAAGTTTTCCGAATAAACTTTTCTCTGACAATAACATAGTTAGTTATATTTATTAAACTTATTTAACTACTAGCAGAGTACCCGTCTTTTGTACGGGGTTGGCAAATAAGTATAAAATGCTTATTGCAATTATACTCGATCTTTGCGTTTGGGATGTGAGAAAACACGGTTTGAGAAAATTTGCTTCCTCAAATTTACGGTATGCGATAGAATTACACATCTACCATAGCCATAATGTTCTACTACTTCACCTACACAATAGAGAAAAATAGATTATTAAAAATTCGCAAAATATCATAAATTATTCATGAAATTAAAAACATATAGCTGTAAACAATCCTACTTTGACAGTTCTCATTGTGTATCACAGTTTTTTGTTGCTGCTTAGTTCAAATTAGCTGTTTACATAAATAATGAAAAAAATAATAGTGCTGCACCCTGTTGGTAACTCTTATAAATTTTTAATGCTTTTGCATATCATAGAACCAACTCTTTTAGTTGAAACAGCTGTCTAAATTCTTTAATTCCCTTTAAATATGAATACTCATAAGGTTAACATGGGGAACTGCAGAGCCACTGGGGCGGAGCCCAAAAGGATTTTTGAGATAAGAATATGCCTATATGTTAATCGGGAATGTGAGCTGTCATCATGCCAAATTTCAGCCCAATCCGACCAGGATTTTTCGTGTTTACTTGTCACAAACATACATACATCCATACATCCAAACTTTCTCATTTAGGCCCTATAATATTAGTAGGATTTTGCGTAATTTTCTTTTTAAATAAAATTGCTGTTTTTGGCATTTAAGAATGGTAAAAAATATGTAACAACCATTAGAAAATCAGCCCGGCCAGCCTAACAATATAATTTTTGCTTTCAAGATTTTCAGATGCTAAGCATGGACACCTATGGAGATAGGTAGACATCATAGGATAGCAATGATGTACTATATTAATTGTATCTACAGCTACTAACTATTGTACCACAGATACCATCAGTAATTGAGTAATTTAAAACCTCGTTTGAGCAAATAAAACAATATAATCAGAAACATTAACTCGTCTCCTATTTATATAACCAGTCATGCCCAAATCACGAAAGTAACCCTAAAAAAATAATAGAAACAACATTTTGTCAAAACTAGCAGTCAGTGTTACTGGACATGTACTAGACACGAAACACGAGCTTCAAAATTTACAATAATGGGATGAGAAGTCTACTTGTGTTGGTTAGTCTAAGGTATAATTAAGCCAATAATTTCCCTATCTAAATAATGGTTGGTACGAGAGGTGTTGATGGTCTCCTATAGGAAATACAGAAGATATCTTACTTTTGGACATAGCTTTTTTAATTTGAGACATCTAAAAGAGGTGATGCAATAAATTTATAAACTACAACAGTGTTAACCATGAAAACATTGATGAGGGTACAGGAGTGTGTGATTAAGCCTCTCAAGAATATTAACGGCTTACAACATACTTAAAGATAACTTCTATATGAAAATGAATGGATGATTCAATATTCAATGAGAAAATATCATCATTGTATATCAGTTCTTCTTTATCAAGTAAAATGTTTATTTTGTCAACAGAATATGTCCTAGTTCAATCTTTTTCTGTAAATTTCATCCCTTATCCCATTGTAACCTCAACGTCCACACTTTTATTTCACAGGCGCTGAACGTAGTAAGATGTTAAATGTAAATACTCACCAATATATGAACACAATGAGTACAGATGACACCTATAAATATGGCACAAAAGAAGCTAACCCAAAGACCTCCGTTCTTGAAGGCGACTGGCATTGAGAGTATTCCTGAGCCGAGACTGCCTTTGATCATGTGGAATAAGGCACCAGAGGTCCTGGAATAGACATTAATTTTAAAATTGTTTACGCCACACTACACTGTTTTAATGAACTTCCCACACAAGGATGGGAACTGTCGAGAAAACAGATGTTTGCCACCAGCTTCATCCAATGGGGTTTCATTACATAGGTAACTACTGTACTGTAATTATTTTTTACCGGACACCAACCAGCTGATTATATTTGGCAGTAGGTGGTTATAAACAAAAAAATAGCATCTATTAGAGGTTGTAGTGGTTTGTTAGTAATTTACTCAGTGGGAATATAAGGATTTGTACAGATTTTATATTGTTATAAGTTAGCTTAAGGATAGTATGGCGTAAAATATTGAATGAGACTCGTCCAAAATGTGTTTACCAGACTCGTATGGTAATCCCGCACTCGACTTTGTCTCGCATGGGAATGACCACACTTGTGCGGTAAACACATATTTTCAGAACTTTCAACGTAATATACTATTACATATATTTTTAATTTGTAAATGTTTACAGAATACAGGTACAGTATGGATGTATCAAAATGTGTTGAAAGATGTTTGTTGCCATGTTATTTGTTTTATTATTTGTTGACCAAAACCTTATTCTATTGGCAATTTCATTGACCATCTACTTTGCATCCCTCTCTATAGAATAGTAGTTTATAACTCACCCTAAAGCATGTTTAGGATCTCTGTGTTCACTAGGGATGTAGTCAGAATTTGCAGATTCTAGTCCTGCTAGTTTCACCCTGAAATCACATCAATGTATTGTATATCACGTCATTATAGTACCAGAGTTTATGGAGTTTAATTTGTCAATTTAAAAGTAAATCAATTAACAGAAATCTGAAAACTAAGTGTCATCAATCACACATCTGTTGTAGATAATCTAGAGATGAATACTTATAATGAACCCTAGTCGAGCCCAGCTCCGGCCCATTGCATGCCAGGTTAAGCTAGTTTTTAGAAACTGCTAGTAGTTAAGCGCTCAGCAAGTCAGTCAGAAATTCGATCGCCCTCCCAGATATTTGAGTGGAGGGGGAGGTGCTTTTAGTGGGTATACCAGAACTGGTGAGTCCCACACCACCCTCAAGGACCGAGGGTGTGCGTAATGTATTTTACACCTCCCTAAAAAAAAGCACTTTTATCATCAATGTTTTTCTTGTTCTACATAAAACAAAAAAAATCTACATCAATATAATATGACTATATGGGCCTACAACACTGTGGACAAAGATGCTGAGGAAAACTTAGGACATTTGAAAATAAAATACTGTGAGTGTTGAAATTTTTTTAGTAGGATCATATTTGGGCAAAAAAATGATAATGGAGAATCAAGCAAAACAGGAAAGTATGGAATCTGGTTCAAGCACCAGACATCGCTGAAGCAAAAAGCAGATGAGGGATCCGAGATGGACTGGGGTTATAAATGGCGGGGATAAAGTTTTATTGAAAAAATAACATGTTTTGAACACCCCTCCAAATGAGTGTATGAATCAAGAAAAAAAATATAAAAAAATAAAAAAATGAGAATGTTGTGAGTTGATTAATTGCACAGGATTACGTACTTCCTTGGAGGCAGTTGATTGGGCAAGACTAAACACACCTCCAGTGCTCGATTTGCAGGGGATTTGCCTGAACATAGTTCCGGTACCTCTCTTTCGGAAAGATAAAAATATTGGAATAAATAGGTCAGTGGCGGATCTAGAACAGTCACAAGTGAGGGCAAACTGGAGGGTTCGGTGGTTCCAACCCGAAAAATTTGTGTAAACTATAAGTCTAAAAAATGGCAGTTTTATACCATTTCTTTGTCCAAAGTTAGTGTGACAAATTATTTTACGCAATGTGTATGCCCGAGAGGGGGGGGGGGCGGTCGCCCCCTTTGCCCCCCTCTGGATCCGCCACTGAAATAAGTGAAAATCACATTAAATAGGTTACAGTTCCGGCACCTCATTTTTACTAATCGAGCACTCTGGTCTTAGGTAACAGAACCATGAGGGTGGGTTGGTTATACAAAATTTAGGCGGTTTAGGAAAGGTTTCCTAGGTTCCCCCGACAATTTTTTACCTCAATATATAAGATTTTCAGGTGCCGACTGTTTCAAAGCTAGGGTGGATGAAATAGCTTCCCCTCAAATCTCATATATTTTGTAAACGGAGTATGGTTGATAATGACATGGGAAGAACCCTCAGCAATATGCGAGTCCCTCTAAACATGTATTTTACCTGGCATTCAGGGGCACTCGATACTAACTGCTAAGGGTGTAAATGTAGTCACACTACTAGTTTCGAGTCAGATTGTTATCAAATTAGTAGTTCGACAGTCTATTCTGAACTTTTGCACAATTACCATAATATTTCATAAGAAAACATAACAACACTTACGTGGAACTTGTAATGTAGGAGATGGATTCCACTTCCCCCTTCTCTGCAATGTGTTTTCCATTCTTGGTCATCGTTCTGTGACAAAAATAAAAATATGAAATAATTGTGATAACCAGTAGCTAGCATAGTTTTTAAAACTTTTAAAAGAACTCAAATAGAACCATAAATAATGTGAGAACTAACAAACGTTAGTTGGTAGCTTTGAAATATAAGATGATTGAATATATCTCAGATAAAATAAGATAATGGGTCCATTCTTATAGTGGACAGTTTACCTGCTTAGCCCAGAAAAACCAACAACACACATAAAGATTACTGAGATCAAATTCCTAAAAGCACAAATGGTTTAATCAATTCTCCATGACTGATTTGATTTACAATGATATACTTATCATTTACTATCCCAGATTAACAATAAAACGTGTTTCTGTGAGGCTTAACAGGCTTAGTACATCAAGTAGGATTACACTTAACAGTTATCAGTAAAACCATGGTATCTTTATGCTTGGAAATATATGGAGAGTATTGCGATTTCACTCAAGAATTACTCTAAACACCATATAATAGATCTACAAACACACGGTATCAGCAATCTGACACATACTTTCTCCCTAGCTCGTCAACAACCCTTAGGGGTAAGCGGTGGGTGTAACTATGATATTTTATGGGGAAAATCACTAAGCTGCAATAACTTGTGAAGTGTAATTTTTACACTTGGAATTGTACCATTTTATTTAGAAATAAAAGGACTAAACTAAAAGGACTTACACAAAAATTATTCTAAAATTGTTTTACCGTTCCATTTGATGGGTTTTCATTTTAAAATCACCATAAACTAAAAAAAAGCGCCTGAAGATACCATAGATAAGTAGGCCCTACCCAATTACTTAATTTAACAAATGCACCACTGGTGGTAGCGTATAGCTCTGTAAACATCCACAAACACACACACACACACACACACACACACACAGAAATCACATAAAAATCCACTTTTTGTGCTTATTTTTAAAAAAAACTTCATCCATATACTAAGTATAGGGGGAGAAAGTATAACACACCACATCCTAGAATTAAAATGGTCAAAAGGTTGCCGGTTCGATCCTGAGAAAAGCTAGTAGCTTTTTGATGGTTCGAAACTGGACCCAGCTGTTCCTGATCATTGGGCTTTAAATAAATGATCCTGACTAATGAAACCGCTAAACTTAGTCAGTAACAAAGCTACACAGGTCATCACACACCATTCTACATTCATCCTTCACTCATATTTGGGTTAAAATATGCACCTAGGTGGCGTCCCCATCTCAATAATTGATTGATTGATTGATAATTGATTGATTGACTGATTGAAAATAGATGCTATTTGAAGATACTACTTTCATACACTGTCTGTTTTTGTGTTTTCATGTATAACAGAACTTTGTATATGATGTACCCTGGTAGCTAAATAAAGATGATATAGCCAGAACAATAAAAATAACATAATGACATTCCACTATTTACTCATTTTGTTATTATTTTAACTGACATAGCTTTTGAAACTTTGTTAGAATATTTTTGTAATTCTTGGTATTGAGGTTTGATACAAAACTAAATAAAATTACAATGACACTAATTAACACTCGTTAGTATTATAATTTTTTTATTAAAATTTGAAACAAGTCATTGAATAAGTACTGTACAGTACTGCAACAATTATTCTTCACTGAAAATACTAAATGGAGCACAGTAGGCTACTGTTTTCCTGAATACAGTTTAACAATGTTTCTAGAACCTGAACATTCCTATCAAGAAGTATGTTTCCATAAATGTATCAAGTAAACTTTTAACATACTTAACATATACTTAAGTTTACAGTGTATTACAAGTTGACAACAAGATAAGTAACATACCTTTTTATCTATTTGCTTACCCAAGTAAATAACAATACTCACATAGATCCTTACAGAACAGAAAACATATTACCTCTGAGGAAGAAGAAGGTGATATAAGTGAACAGTTATTTCTCAGTGTTAGAACCTGTTTACCATCTATCACCTCACCTTCCCTTTCGCTTTCTCTCTCCATCACTGGGTGAACAAGTCTCCAACTCACTTTCTGACTCACTTGTTTTTCTTTTCTCTTTCCTCGTCCATTCTTCATTATGTAGGCTACCGGTTGATCGGTCATTCAATAATTGTTGCATCCATATCCTGCATGGTTGATATTCCATGCTTTTAAAATAACAGCTGTATTTGGAGGATTGTAAGTCAAATTATTGGGCTTCTGTGTTTTTTAGCTGTTCAAATGTTTAATGATGTATACTTTGATCCTGGAATTGATGATGTTGATGGATAGATCCCGAGCAAAATTCTCGACTTACCATCAATGAACCCTCATGGTTTTAAAGTATTCAAACAAGCCCTGCACTCCCCTTCATTCTACCATCATGCATTCTCTCTTCATTATCAATAAATTATGAGATCATTCTTACAAACCGGATGGCAACTCTTTTTTTTAAGCTTTAACAATTCTCACAATCCCGCTTCCTTGGTTTCTGATTAATAATTCTAGATATTTCAAAATGCAATACGTACATTATATTGTTATGTACATTATGTATGATACATTCAATATGTACATTATGTATTATGATACATTCAATATGTACATTATGTATGATACATTCAATATGTACATTATGTATGATACATTCAATATGTACATTATGTATGATACATTCAATATGTACAATACTTACAATGTGTATGCGTGTGTACTTTGTTAGATTATGTGTGCAAGAATAGAAAATAATACTAGTCAACTCATGTTAGCCTTTGAAATATTAATTTTGTTTCTGCTTTTGTTTTATTGGAAGTTACTTTTGTAATCCAATGAAATCTATCAAAACCAGCTTGACTGGGGTTTAAATAAACTGGTTTGCACTAAAATATTCAGTTGGGAAATTAACTTGTGTGGGAGATTCAGCCAAATGAGTTATGAAACAAAAATATATCATCTTTGACTAGGCTGTGCCATTGAATTTGGATACTGAAATATAAGTGGACATTCCATCTATATAGACCAGCAGCTGTCACCAAATTGTTATGCCAAAAGTTGTGAGCTAGTCACAGATTGCACTAGTGTCTAAAATTTAATTCATACCTTATTTGTTGTTCCTGAGATAGTTGACGGGATATAAAAGAAGCTATCTTAAAATAAGTCGTCCTATCAGTTTGACTCGGTGTAAAATTATGCATATTCGATAGAAATAAGTAATTTTAATCAGCACAATCTGGCAATGGATCACTTCAACTATGCCCATTTTAAATTTAAAACCGGCGACAACATTGGGGATAGAACGTCTTGTTCTTGAAGGTTTTGCCTTATGTTTCTTCATGTAAGCTTACTTCATCAGTGATATGATTAACACCTTAATTGTCCTGTCTTGACTTGACATTTATTATAGAGAACAATAACTTGTTAAATTATAATTTTATAACTTTGTGTAGTCATCTCTATTTTCTCACAGTTGATTGATGATACTCTTAAAATAATTTTATTTTTGTATACAATTTCGTCCTAATTTGTTTTATACATTCTTGAAGTGAGCAGTGTTAGTCTTTCAAATTTTAGATTGTAAAATTTTTGCATTATTAAAGTGTCTCTCTAAAACTCGTAGTTTTCAAAATAAATCTATTGTTCTAGTCTTATTTTTCCAGTTTGTTTGGGGATTTAAAAGGTTCCTAAAATGTCAAAGGAAATTTGTGGTGGCCTGGGATATACCAATTACTTCTATTTCGTCTAAAAAGCTATAAAAAATTGAATTCAAAATCTACATTTTTTTTACTTTTCACACTGTAATTTTAATTTTATTTTAGAACTGCTGATTTCAACTTTTTCAGTAGCAAGGCATTGACACTTATACTTAAAAGATTTCATGGCAGAGTTTTATGTTGTAGCTGGGCAATGGGGGGAGGGGATGTTATTAAAGCAATGATCATGGAATCTAGGATTCATTGCATGTAATAATTATTAATTCAGATTTTCAATTTTTCTTAAAAACCTCTTTACAGCTCTTACCTGTTCCTCTTTGTAAAGCTTAAAATAAATACTCTAAACCCAAGCCATTCATTATTTCTTTTCTTTTTAAATTCAAAAGACCTCAAACTTCTTTAGGTCAAACACAAACTTATTGCAATAATCAAACCAAATTATACATTATTAAATTAACATCTTGCTAGGATAAATTGAGTTTTTAGTGATGTCTCAAAAATAGTATTATAGTATCAAAATAGTATTATATTTATATCAGTACTTGCCAGAGGCCGAAAGAGGGTCCCTGTAGGAGTCAAGTTGCCATCTCACTGAAGTTGTCAACTCCAGATAGGCCTAATTAATTCACCTGATAAGCCTCTGAGGCAACAGTCTAATGTTGTTTCATAGTTCAGTTTCATTCCTTAGTTCCATATTCATGATTTGTGTCTTTTTCATTTGAAAATTCTTCGCACCAAAACTGAACACTATTATACGACACTGAACAATTCAAATACTTATGTCATCTAGTTTGTGTATGTACAGTTGTTAGTGACGTGTAATTATATAACGTTTACGGTAATTGTATTTGGATACTACCATGTACAGCTTAATATCTTTCATTTTGGGTGTACAGTAGGTATAACTGAAATTTTATTTGTTATTTTATAGTGTAAAGATCAGCATGAGCTTGGGAAGATGGTGATGAACTGTTAAGTTTTGTGCTTTAAAGGCTTGTTTTATCAATAAGGGTTTCTATGTAAAATAGCTTTTTACCTGTTCTACTTAATTGATTTTTACGATTGAGGTATAATTGAAAGCTATCTAGAGGAAGGATTAATAGTAACTAAAAAGCTTATTTTCCCTTAGGTCTTAATTCCCTAGCGTTTGGTGTATTTCTAGAGTAACCCTTTCTAAGATCCACTCATTTTGCCGATGTTGGCCAACTTATTTCTTCATAATGCCTTTAAAGTAAATTTTAATTCTAACGCTGATTCTTCAGAAAACGGTTAACCAACACTAACAATTGAATTATTTTAATTGTTGCAAATGAATAAAACAATATTGGTCAGTCACTATCGAGTAAAATAAAAAACCATGTTGTTAATTTCAATTTCATATTATTTCAAAATATCTATACAAGTAATATAATTTTATAATTTACACAATAAACAGCTGTTTTTACAATATTAGTATACAATACATCAAAAATAAAATACTAACAAAATACATACCGGTACACGTTTCAACAAAATATTAAAAATTACATGAGTTAGTCTTATGCAAGGCTGTGGTGTTGTAAGTCAACGTCGCAACGGCATACCTATTGCCATAGTAATAACAGAAATAACAAAAATGTAAATATAAACTATAACCTTTGACTATTAATACAACAACTATATCCAGTAGTCAATGCTATAACTATACAAACTGTATATATTACTGCCTATACTGTCCAAAAACATATAAACTAGTACAACAGCTGTTTCGGTTTGTCCGGACAGCGATGTTGTAACTTTATTCTCGCCGCAGCCTTGTTAAAGAGGAGACTGTGATTAAGACGATATTAATTTTACAAGTCGTAGAGAATTTATTAGTAGATTTTAAAACTGCTGCTACTTGATGTTACAATTTTTACAATTTTTTTTTATTGTTTGCTCTTATTATGCATCTCTTTAATGAGTTTCACTTCATAAAAACCTGTTTGATAGTGTATTAAAACTAAACTTTTTGTCTCAAATTCATTTTTTGATTTTTTTTTCCCAAACACTTGGTATTTTAAGTATGTATTCTTAAAACATGAAAATCTGGCATACAACCTTTACATAATAATTAACTAAAACAAACTGTGGTACAGTAAAAAAATACACAGATATTTACAAAATAAATACTTTTATAAGGAGCTCAAGGTTTAAATGTATAAGAAACAGTAAAACTACAATCATGTACAGACAGAATGTGTTCTGAATCATATTCATACACAGTTAACAATTTTGAAGTTTTTTTTCAATGTTTTTTTTTTACTCAATTTTAAAACAGTATTGGTTCGTGATCGTGATGTTTGAAATAAAAACATTGTGATTTTTCTCACTATAACTTTTTCTGTGAACAATAATTGGAATCATTAACAATTCTAAAAGCTTCGGCTATGGAGAGGAGTAAACATCCTACTCCCATGTTTAGATTTGCATCTTATAAACTGCACATCCAGCTTTAGAATATACCCCTACCTCAGCAAACCTGCAGACAAAGCTAATTTCCATTTGCCTGATTTAATTTTCAATTAAATGTATTTAAATAACATTAGGTTTCAAGTACCTAGATTTGCTGCTACAAGGAGGGTAATAAAGTGTCTTTTAGTAAAAGATTCATGGCTTAGTATAAAATAAATAAATTTGCCAAGTTTGATCCAAATATATCCATAAACAAAAGGATTATAACAATTTACTTGCTCTTTATAAGAGTAATAGGTAGGCCTACCTATTTTAAATTTACAACTTTTTTTAATTTTTTTTACTATAATAACTGTATACAAACACTTCAATATACATAATTATTTTTTTTATGCTAACAGGGTCTAGGGAGAAATTGGTAAATTTTATGTTTTAAGGGTCAAAAATGAGAAAACCCAAATTTTACCCCATTAAACCCTGATAAATCAAACACCTTCTATACATATAAAAAAAATCAAACGAATAGTGTTTTTGGCCTCTTAGGACATCAAAATGAAAAAGTATATCGGTCCCAGCTCTAGGTCTTACCATGCCACTTGTATCTAATAGCTTTTTTTAATAAAGAGGTTGGCGACCTCTTTTAACCTTGCATTTGCTTGTCCACATAGACTAACTGCCTGGGCGTGGATCGTATCCAGCAAAGCAAGGGGTGAGCCGGTACAGTACAAAGGTGAACAGTTCTAATCAAATGTTTTTCGGCAGTGACCAGTATCCGAACCCACGACATCGCTGCCTTGGGCCCGGAGTCCCTGACGCTACCGACTGAGCCACCGACTCACCTAAAGCTACTTCCCTATAGGGAAATTAACTAAAAATAAACATAGTTGAATTCAGAAACAGACAGAATGTGCTCATGTGGATCACTGATTTCTCTGCATAGCCCTAAAAGAAGTCATAAAGGAACGACTATTAAAGTATTAAAACTATCAAATATAATTTTGACAGTAGCCCTCTCTGTGCCATTCATCTATGTTCTACTTTAATAAAAATTTGCCTCTAGCTTATCCATATATTACCTCAACTTTAGTTTACAAAAGTCTATGGTATAAACTTTGGCACGTGCCCGGGATTGTTTTTCACATTACTTCAGGCTAGACGTAGGGGTTATGGCATTATCCCTTTGATAAAATCCATGGGTGATTTGGCAGGATTTTAACCCGGGACCTCAGGGACTGAAGTCCCGCGCTCTAACCACTAGACCAGCTCCCTCCACTTGGTATAACTTTGGATGATTGTAATTTTACTGCAATTTACCTCACACTTCTTACTTGGCAAAATTCAATTTTCACTCTACTGGTAAAGTTCTATAATCTTTTGTAAGCTGATGTGAGCTCCTGTGACTAGGGTGATGAACCAAAGTATGATGAGAATGTAGTTCTTGTAGAACTTCCACCGGTACGGACCCATGTACTTATCATCTTCCCAGAATGTCACAAGTTCTATGACGGGGGGGAAGAAGAGCACCAGAGTCGAGGAGCAGATCGCTCCGACAAGACCTACGAATGGCTCCAGGTCTGGCACTATTGTTGCTATGACAACTAGAAGAAAATATAGAGAGATAAACAAAGATAAAAATAGATTTCAAAAGACAATCGATATGAGATCATTTACAGTCATCGCTATAGTAACCGAAAATGTAGAAAAAATAATAAGCTTAAAGGAAAAGTTGTAGAATTGAAATTTAAACTCCAACATCTCTGAGAGTAAAAGTGACATTTTATTTTTTGTCAATTCTCCATTTAGTTGTAAAGCGTGAATCAAGGAGTAGAAAAATTCATAGATTGGTAAGAGAGTTATATTTTTAACAATGTGAGTTAAGCATATCTTAAAGTCAGGGATCAAAAGTTGAGATATTTAGACAACATAGATACATAGACAATGAATCTCGATGGACCTTTTCAAACTCGAAAATCTTACCGCCAACTAGTTCAAACTGACTAAATTTTTACTGAAAATCTTAATCCCCAACCAGTTCAAATTGACTAAATTTTTACTCTTAAAAACATTTTTGTAATTGATAGTAAGATCACTCACCTGTTAGTAGTATTAAGACAACTCTCATTGTGTAGTACTTGAAAGTTTTTCTACTTTTCCCAATAAATCCTTCAATGTTGCGCCACACAATTTCGCAAGGAACGTACAAGAAGAGTCCGTACGAACATAGCACATTCAGAATCACCATGAGCTTAACTGTCTGTCCCATTCTGTAAAATATAATGGTGTTGTATGATTTACGCCTTAGATTTGAATTTTCTTAGACTTTACTGAATGGATTGATATGAGATGAAATTTAAACACAGCTACCTTACAATCCTCCAGTAGAAGTTTATTAAGAAATACCTACTTAACAATTTATGCAATTAAATCAGCCTCCATCCCATACACATTTCAATGCTATTCTTACTTTAATCTATTGTCAGCTGATGACTCAAACTAAACTTTCCGCATTAACTTTGAAAAATAAAAGTTTTCTACCGAACACACAAATATCACTTGACAAAATTAGCTGAAATTTCATACAAAAATATCTAAGGTAATGGAGAAAACTCTACGAAAGTCTTTAAGGCTGGACACAGGCTGAGGCAAACACTAGGCAGCGCACGCAACTCAGCACGAGCCAGAAAACTGTGCCACTATTTTTCCTTGCTGCTGGAGATGCACGTGTGTACGTGTCTGGCACACAGGTAGGCTGGCATGTCACAGTTTGTAGGACAGACTAAAATTTTCCAACACAAACCATTATTAGCGTCTGATTGTGTTAATAAATTATCTATGATGTATGATGTTAATTAACTTAGAATATGTAAAACAAGTTTGCAGTTTTTCTTAAAACCATTGTTAGAGCTTGAAAACCCAAACAGTTTAGTATGCCGAAGCCGAAGCATTTATTGTAAGCTTGACTACAAAGACTATTTCAAAAAACTAAACATATGAAATTTCTATACATCATTCTCATGGAGAGAAATTTAACTGATTGTAGTTGGCTTGTTTGTGGATATATTTAAATTAAATTTGGTAGGATTATTTTTGTTACAATTAGTTTGCGTGGAACATGACTTATAAGGACTGTGTCAAGTGCGTCTCAACAAACGCATGGCCATAAGTTTGGAGGTGGAGCTTTGGGGAGTAAATATTGATAGGTCTCCGTATCAACAAAAAGAATAATAAAATAAAAATATTTACTGAAATTATTACTGGCTTTATTGAAATTTGTCGAAACCTTTTATTTTCATTTAACAAAGCTTTTTGATTCAAATCATATATAAAACATCTGAAAACTGTGCACTACTATATACAGACCAACAACCATGTATCCAATATTTCTCTTTTCCATTTTAGAAATAGGTATAATAAATATTTACAAAAATAGTTACTACCCTATATCAAATGACATTACTACTCACGTAGATGATGAGATATTCAATGTTATGGAGCCAGCTGTTTCCTCCCCGTAACGAAGGTAACCAAAGAAGCCCATGGTACCATAGAGAGCTATCAGCCACACCATAGATGCGTTCAGGATGCCAGGACACCCCAGGAAACGCTGAGGATTGCTCATGGCGTTCTCTATCGGTAACACCTAGAAATCATTATTTGGTATTAGTTCAACATTAAGCGTGTAGAAAAGTTAAGTTAAAGGAAATCTGTGCAAGGTACTGTATATCAAGGTTCAATAGTTTGCCGTCACAAATTTTGGCCAGTGTATTATTTCAAGTTGAAAAGTTTAAAATATATTTTTTTACTTCCAAGATGTACATTAGACTCCCTCTTATCCGGACTCCTCGGGACCGAGGCCAGTCCGGATAACGGTTTTTCCAGTTGAACCGCCGTCCCCCAAAACTCGGTAAAATGGACCATTTAAATGCATACTGTATAAGCCGATAATGATTATTACATATTTAGACTTGTGATCACTGGTCTCTAATCTTTCCTACGAGAACAGTCGTTTCATTAACGCCCATTTCCTGCCAATCCAGTCCGGTTAAACCGATGTGCTGATAAAAATTGTCTGGGTGAAGAGATGTCATTTCCGCCGAGTGTAGTCCGGTTGAACTGATGTCGGGTTAAGGTGTCCAGATAAGAGGGAGTCTACTGTAGCATTGAAATGTTTCAAGTTGGTGGCAGTCTTAAAGCTACTTGTATATCCACCAGGTAGTATTAGAAATAACAGTCCCTACTTGCATTTTGAGCAGTGTGAGGACTAGTAACTTAAAATTTTGGAGGTACGGTATTGAAATCGTTTACTAAAGTCATACATTTAGATGACAAAAATCACTCCTGAGTCCTGATATAAACTTCTTATGGGAAATCATCGGGCATGAGCCTGTGATCGTGTGAGCTCCTCACGCTGTTGCTATACTGTAATGGTAAAAACAAGTTTTGAAAATTTGTTGTAAACTTATAAACTAATTCACAATAAAGTAAATAACAGCAAGAACACATTTATACAGTACATTTCATTTAGTGTTTTCAAAATTATACTTGAATTCAAAATTAGATTCATCTGTTATTATAGCGTTTTTGGTAATTAAGTAAATTCATTACTAAAATTCTCAAAACTAATGGTCTTGCTAGAGAAGAATATAAAATATAAAAAAAACATACAAGACTGTTTAAATATTTTAAGGAGTATTTAAGATAAAGGAAAATCCTACTAATATTATAAATGAGAAAGTTTGGATGTATGGATGTATGTATGTTTGTGACAAGTAAACGCGAAAAATACTGGTCGGATTGGGCTGAAATTTGGTTTGATGATAGATCACATTCCCGATTAACATATAGACGCATTCTTATCTCAAAAGTACTTTTGGGCTCAGCCCCAGTGGCTCTGCTGGAGATTGCCATGTTAACCTTATGAGTAATTATCTTTTAAAGGAATAAAAGAATTTTGTCAGCTGTATTCAACTACACAAGTTGGTTCTATGATATTAAATACCGTTAAAAAGTTATTAAGATTTACCAACAGGGTGCAATTCTACTGTTTTTTTACAGCGTTGGTAGATGTGTAACTATTTTATACAACAAATGTAAAGATAAAAATGTTTCTATTTTGTGTCTTCTTCCCGTTGCAAAGCACGGGTACAACAGCTATAGTCCAGTCAAACTAAGACAAATTACCCTTAAACCTGGGCAAAATTGCTTCACAAGCGATTGAAGTGGTATTCAACTCAGAAAATGTTGCTTTATAACATATCCAAAATCCGACAAAATCCATCCATGGGAAAGTGGCTAAAATCAGAATTTAAAATGGCGGCTTTTCCCAACATTGGACAAATTAAAAAAACATATTTCACATGCATTTATTATGCACATTTTTCGAGATATTGACTTGGGACCACCGCCTGTATTTATTGGGTGGTTAGTACTTCATTTTGATAGGGAACATGTTTTTGGCCGCCATCTTGGATCCGCCATATTGGACATAGATAATGTTTTTTCAATGTAATGATAGTGTTGTGACACATCGTTACCAACTACATTTTTACACTGATTTAAATGCCGAAATCCGTTTTTAAATATCTTTATTCATTTAGAAGATATATTCAAACGAAAACTCTCCACCATACATTTCTTATGGACGTTTCGTACTTTGATAATTGTTTTAACATTATGTTTCTTATATCTCCAGTTCTTATTGACGCTTGTAGTTCGTTCTAGGCTTAAAATATTCAGTAATGTGAGGGCTTTCATTTGAGCTCTTGATCATTAAAGTCAGACGAGTTAAAGACCAGCTACGAACCTCAGAACAATATTAAATTAATCTTTTTAGAAATATATTTTTATTAAAAGATTTATAACTCGGGTTGTTAATACGTCACAAAGTTATTTCAGGTCTCAAAATACTCAGTGAATGTTTAGCTTTAATTTTATTGATCATTAAACAAAATCTGACAATTTTAAAATGAGTCATGGACCATAATTTAACATTAAAATGTATTTATATTGAAATTTGTCTTTAGTTAAGGACATATATCCCAAACCCTAATAACTCCCGGAAAGTAATCGGCATAATTTTACTAGACTACTAATATTATTATATAAGCAACAATAGTTATCAGGGAGTGGGAGGTATGAATACTAATATTTTACATAGACATTTTGTTAGTTGGTATAAGTTTGGAATCGCACCTCTCATAGTACTCAAAGGGTAAACAATTTGAGCAATATCAATCTACACATAAGAGATAACACAGAACATGCACTTACTGTTCCAATGCCGTCCACAGCGTAGATCATGGTGCAGAAGAACAGCGGTAGGTGACTCCAAGAAGTAAACACTGGCCTGGAGGAGAGCGGAGGAAGGTCTTGGAAGATGTCGTAGAGGACGAAGCAGCAGCCGAATGTTAGCGCAACAATCGCGATGAACGAGAAGGGCACAAGGTACTTGAGGTTGCGAATGATGCCGATGGGCAACACAAACACTGTGACTGCGAGAATGTACAGTCGAACATCCATTGAGACGTCAAAGTCATGTTCTATAACCTATAAATGGAGGTTGTAATTTAAAGCACCTGTTTCTGAGTACATTTGACAGGAAAATCTATCAAAAAGGGTTTGAACATGGTCACTTAAATGTAAACTTGTTTCAACCCCTTCACAAAATACAAAGTGCTTTTTAAGCACCCCAAATTACAAGCAGAGAGAGTCACTATTTATCAAGTTGGCAGCCCTGCTTCCTCTACTTTTTTATCAATCAGTTGATATACATTTTAGCATTGTTTTGTATACTGTTTAGTGTTATTGGGAATTTATGGTAAATAAGATTCAACGTTTTATTCTCTCACTAACCCAACCCACGTTTAAGATTAATAATGCACATGGGAAAAAATAAGTATTGTACTATTGATTTTTACAGATTATACAATCTGTAGTAAATTTATTAGACTGGAATCTCACCTAAAAACTTAATTACAACCATTTCTTGGCATAAAATTGTTTAATAAATTCTTCTTTAGGTGTCTCCTACTCTTTAAATTTGTGAAAACACCATGTTGAGTCATATTCACAAAAAAAACATAGAGACAACAATGACAAAATGCATATCGACTGATCACCAGTGGAGTAAAGGAAGCAAGGCTACCAACATATTTGCTTGATTTGTCCCTGAACAGTGAATCTCTGTATTTGTAATTTGGATTGTGTTTCAAAACAACACCCCTGTATGATATAATTGATAACTTTATTCAAATTCAACAATACTATTTAGATTCTTTAGAAACATGTATTGTGTTTATTTGAGCCTGTTACTCTTTCATTTTATGTTTAGAGCACCCATTAGTCAATAATAAATTATGGTCTTTTGTTTTGTTTACTTATTCATTAAGGATATTTGCTTCTTTTACCTGTTTTAATGAAGACGCTGTGAACACAACATACACTATGCAGCATGCGTAATATCCCAAGAACAATCCTAAATCAACAATGTTCCTGAAACAGAAATAATTTGTAAACAAAGGTTATTATTATAGTTTTTAATCACAACCCTAGGTAAATAAAGAAGGGCTTATTATTTTTGTTGAATTTACTTCATGGAACATCTGATTGTCTATTATTGCTATGAAGATTTTGTTTTTTTTTTACATTGTTTATCGGTAATATTAATTTTGTACACAAACTAAATCCTCCTGAATCGAGGACATTATCAAGTTGAAGGGTCCAATAATACAAAGTACAATACGGTAAGTTGAAAAACCTTCTGTAGTACAGTCATTGATTTATTTTTTAAACTGTTATTTCATGTTTTCATTTCATGTTAAACTTAAGTGATTTCATTATAAAATTCAATCTTTGATTTTCTGTCGCTCAAAAATCCTTACTTGGCAGCTGTACTATATTTCCGCCATTTTGTAGGTCCTGTGCGGAACGCAGCCTCCGCAATCTCTGCGAACCCGAGCCTTGGTAGTTTTAACCTTGTACAGAGGATTTGGCAGCTGTATATCTGAAAAATATTCACAATTTATTACTTCATTTTGTTTGGATTAGTAACTTATTTATTATACCCAATGCAACAAACCTGTAGACTGAGTTAATTTCCAGTTGCTACCTTTTTACCTTTTTTTAATTATATGTCTAGCACTATTCCTCGTGTGTAGGGCAAAGTCCAACACCGCCCCCCTTCGCTCTCATGTACTACAACGCTTACAAAGGAGGACGACCCTAAACTCTGTGCAATAGGAATTACCGCTCAGTGCTCGCTGCTCGAGCTCTTCTTTGCCCATCACAAGTATATTCCAGCACAAAATATACGTCTGGCGCATGGTGGTCCCACTAGCAAGTTTCCTTTGTACCATTCCTTATCTGTGGAGTAACTACTAACTACTATGATATTTCATGAGTTCAATCGCAAAAATTAAATTAAATTTTGAACGGTAATTTTACAGCATTAGGGTTTGTTACAATTTGATTTGAAATTAAAAGGACCATAGCTCAAAATCAAAATTAGACCAGTTTTTTTTTAATCCGTTTTTTTTTTTTTTTTTGTTATTGTATGGGTTTTATGGAAAAGTCCCCATCAAAATTTCAATCAAATGAAAAAAACATCTTGGAGATACCGAATTAGTACCCTCATATCAAATTTCTTCAAAATTGGATCAAAGATGTCGTCTTTAGCTCTGTACACACCTACAATTCAAAACCAGGGGGTATCGAAAACGGGTATTTCCACCCAAAAATGTATTAACAAAAACAATTCTTTCTCCACTATGTATAGGGGAAGAAAGTAAAAAGGATGGATTTCTGAAGCAAAGGATGGTCCACTAAAAGCTATTGGTAAATTATTATATACTTTGTATACTCACCAGTATATGAACGCAGTGAGTGTATACAACGCCTACGAGAACAGCACAGAAGAGACTGACCCAAAGCCCTCCGTTTTTGAAAGCGACAGGCATCGCTAGTATACCGGAGCCGAGACTTCCTTTGATCATGTGGAACAAAGCCCCCATGTTGCTATAAGTGGAGAGTTAAGGTTAGCTCTTCGTTTTTTAAGATATTCGCTTAGGGGCGTAGTTTGCCCACTCTCAATCTAATATTTTTGCTGTTAATATTCTTATAGTTAATAAGTTTATGTATGCTAAAAATCATTGAACTAATGACGATTGAATTAATTTCATATTTCTAAACTGTGGAAGAATTATTCCCCTACAGCGTTTTATAAAAAAGAATATAGGGAATACTTTAATCTTACAATAACATTGTGGTTGTGATAGAATGGTCAGTTATTGTCTGGTTTGAAGCTTTGACCTCAGTTTTAAATCTACAAAAAACAGGAAAAGACCTTGAACATTAGGAAAAGTAATACCTTCCTCAATCTACCTATGAGCATTAACGGTTGATTGTGCTTTGAAAACAATATATGTGTGTTCATTTAGTTCAGAAATAACACTTGATTGGATGAATTTGTTTCTAGTCATTCTATATTTCTTAACAAAATAATCAGTGAATTGCTACTTACTTCAGAGGATGTGTCAAATTTCGATTTTTCCATGGTTCATAAGGTTCCACACCTTCTTCGTGGCAAAATGCAAGCTTTGCCCTGTAAAAAAACAAATATATTTACTATGGTTCAATGTTCTTCATAATAATTTCCTTTCTTCAAGAATCCTTCTTTTTTTATTTCGGTTTGTTTAACTATGTGTATTTTATGTTCTCTATTTTCCTTCAAATCCTCAACTGTTGTACATAAATCAGACATATCGTCTTTGAGTTTTGAATTTCATCTTATAAATGTTTTATACTTAACTTTTGTAAAATTCTTTAGCTTGTAACATGTTAAATTTTGCCATAAGATTTTTTTTTGTGTAAGGAGCCGATTTAGCACCAATGCAATGTCGCAAATGTAAATTTGTAAATCCCGCCAACGTTTGAGTCGGCGGCCTCCATTCGCATAGTGCCGGGCGCTCTGCGCATGCCCGACTGGACCTGCGCACAAGCGTCGTCCCCGGCCGTTGCACCACACGCAGCTCCTCGAGACAGTCGAGGCCAGGACACGAGAGAGAGCAGACTTCACGTTACCTGACAGTCGAGTCAGGGAGTCGACCATACCCACTACGAGGGCACGAGACAGACGACTGTCAACCACGCACGGGTCTCCGAGGACCAAGTACGACGAATCTGTATAAGGTAGTCATCACCTTGCTTTAAATAGACATTTGTCGTACCGTTCGTTCAAGTCTAGTACAAGATCAAGTTTCATTGAATATTCTGATAGTCAGCTTAACGTAAAACTTGCTTGCGCTAATTGTTCAGTATATTTAGCATTGATCAAGAGTTAACATCATTGCAGCTATACATTGACATTTTGCCTCTCACATAATTCGATAATTTTACATGTAATTAGTAACTGAACTCGATTGAACAATAATTACATTCAAAGGAATTTACCGTATCTATCATCCTCACACATACGAGGAAACCATTTAGCTGTTGTAGTCTTATTTACTGTGTGTTGTGTGGTTTTAAATTATTAACTCAACGGCTTTAATCGAAGATATCTAACATTTTGTGGGACGAATTATCTGTAGTGTGACAGGTAAATACTGTGCGACATCAAGACGTGTTATTTGATTGAATTCGAGATACTAGCCTATTTGTGTAAATATCTGTGTAAACCATCCCGAACTGTGGTTCGCCCGCAGCATCCTGCGATCCTACCTGTGGTTCGCCCACAGCAAATAGCTTTAGTTGGCTTTAATTCCCTGTGGTTCGCCCACAGCATTTAGCTGTAGTTAGCGCTAATTCCCTGTGGTTCGCCCACAACAATTAGTCTTACTTAGTGATAGTTACCTTTCCCTGTGGTTCGCCCGCAGCATCCCCCGATCCTACCTGTGGTTCGCCCACAGCAATTAGCTTTAACTAGCGATAATTCCCTGTGGTTCGCCCACAGCACTTAGCTATAGTTAGCTTTAATCTCTGTGGTTCGCCCACGGCAATTAGCTTTAGTTAGCTTTAATTCCCTGTGGTTCGCCCACAGCACTTAGCTGTAGTTAGCGATAATCCCCTGTGGTTCGCCCACAGCAATTAGCTTTAGTTCCCTGTGGTTCGCCCACAGCATTTAGTCGTAGCTAGCGATAATTTCCTGTGGTTCGCCCACAGCAATTAGTTATAGTTAGTGATAATTACCTTTCCCTGTGGTTCGCCCGCAGCACATCAGTACGGACTGATAACTACCGGACATGCAGTAGATCTTAGACAAAGATTTGCGGATTATTGGTGTGACCACGCGGCTGGAGGCTTCACCACGTCTACTACATCTATCTCGCTGGACTCTTTGCATGTTCCCGCTACGACCAGTAGATTGGTGGATTATCAACCCATACATCAACAGGAGCTTGATACTACACAAGCTGACGATTTGTTAGGAGCACCAGTTTTTCAAACGAAGGAAAATACCAATGTGGTTTTTACTTTTAACAGAGGACTACCTTCAACTCATGCATATTATGATACTCGGCAATCAGAGGAATTAAGTATTCGGGAAATGTTAGGCCTGCCACCCACGGCTGATTTTCGTACAGTACAAGACAAACTTTTCGCAACTCAGTCAAGAGCAGACCAGCGTGGTCCAAGGGCAGACCCTTTGAATAATAAATTATATGAATACGGCCCTACAGCATTTAGTCGTAGTTAACGATAATTCCTGTGGTTCGCCCACAGCATTTAGTCGTAGCTAGCGATAATTTCCTGTGGTTCGCCCACAGCAATTAGTTATAGTTAGTGATAATTACCTTTCCCTGTGGTTCGCCCGCAGCACTTAGCTTTAGTTAGCGATAATTCCCTATGGTTCACCCACAGCACTTAGCTATAGTTAGCTTTAATCTCTGTGGTTCGCCCACGGAAATTAGTCATAGTTAGCGATAATTCCCTGTGGTTCGCCCACAGCACTTAGCTTTAGTTAGCTTTAATTCCCTGTGGTTCGCCCACAGCATTTAGATGTAGTTAGCGATATTTCCCTGTGGTTCGCCCACAGCTCTTAGCAATAATAACCTATCCTTAACTGTGGTCCGCCCACAGCACTCCCCGATCCCTAACTGTGGTTCGCCCACAGCATGTGTAAATAGGTTACTAATATTTTTGTGCTTTATATGACTATATTTCAGGTGTTAACAGTGTAGTAGTGACTAATACGTGTGTCTTGAATAACGGTATTCTAGGTGATTGTAGTTTTAGCGATTACTAATATTTGCGTGTTTTTATATAACTGTATTGTAGGTGTTGGTTACTAATACTTGCGTGTTTTTATTTAACTGTATTGTAGGTGTTTGTGTGAAATAATCATATTTTGCAGCTTAGCTTCTTCCAGTTCCCCAAGATCGACGTATCCGTCCTAACTGTGGTTCGCCCACAGCGATCCGTCCTAACTATGGTTCGCCCACAGCACTCCGTCCCGAACTGTGGTTCGCCCGCAGCGCACCTTTCTTTCCATATAGAGAACAAATATGGCAATGATGATAACGTGGGTTCGATTGTTGGAGATTTTATATCTCATACCCTTTGTCTGAGCCATCCGTTCTCTTTTCAGAATATTAGTTCGCCCTTTACTGTCGATTCGTTTGACATTTCGACCCCTGGAACCGCAACCCAGCGCGACTAGCTATCCGGCAACCGGGTCAAAACCGGACTCGCGTATTTTCCGAACGCCTCACCCGGAAATACGTCGTAGGTTTTGGCACCCGCGAACAGGGACTTTTACTCGAACACAATAAAGATTAATTTTCGTAAAATTTGCAACTAAGTTGCTGGCGCCCGTTCAGAATGACAGGTGGAACGACTACCACAACCGCTGTTAAGCCCAAGACGACGACTACGAGAACAACCGCCCCAACAACGATAACTCCGTCCACTAATGTTCCTGCGACCTGTAGATCGGAATTAATTACCACGACTGACGTTTTAGTAGTAACTACCTCCCAAGAATTGTAACACCAGCTACTACAACGGCACAGGCCAGAAGTGAGCTCCTACTTCCGCTCGAATCTGATTCTAGAGTTAATTGGGTTTACAAACTGTCCAAAGATGCAATTAGACAAATTTTAAGGGACTATAACTTGTCAGACGAAGGTAAAACTGACGAATTAAGAAAACGACTTGTAACTGCTATCAGGAAAAGTCCAACTAAGGAGATGGACCCGGTAACTTTGTACAGTGATGTTCTTCTTACGAGCCCTTACAAAACCACGAGCACTACTGATTCGACACTTACTACCACGGCTCAATTCGTAACCCCTGTTACAACTAAACAAGTAAAAACTCCATTGACCGACCCACGAGTTAGCTGGATTTTCGATTTAAATAGAGACGACTTGATTAGTGAAATGAAAAAGTACGGACTGATAACTACCGGACATGCAGTAGATCTTAGACAAAGATTTGCGGATTATTGGTGTGACCACGCGGCTGGAGGCTTCACCACGTCTACTACATCTATCTCGCTGGACTCTTTGCATGTTCCCGCTACGACCAGTAGATTGGTGGATTATCAACCCATACATCAACAGGAGCTTGATACTACACAAGCTGACGATTTGTTAGGAGCACCAGTTTTTCAAACGAAGGAAAATACCAATGTGGTTTTTACTTTTAACAGAGGACTACCTTCAACTCATGCATATTATGATACTCGGCAATCAGAGGAATTAAGTATTCGGGAAATGTTAGGCCTGCCACCCACGGCTGATTTTCGTACAGTACAAGACAAACTTTTCGCAACTCAGTCAAGAGCAGACCAGCGTGGTCCAAGGGCAGACCCTTTGAATAATAAATTATATGAATACGGCCCTACAGCATTTAGTCGTAGTTAACGATAATTCCTGTGGTTCGCCCACAGCATTTAGTCGTAGCTAGCGATAATTTCCTGTGGTTCGCCCACAGCAATTAGTTATAGTTAGTGATAATTACCTTTCCCTGTGGTTCGCCCGCAGCACTTAGCTTTAGTTAGCGATAATTCCCTATGGTTCACCCACAGCACTTAGCTATAGTTAGCTTTAATCTCTGTGGTTCGCCCACAGCACTTAGCTTTAGTTAGCTTTAATTCCCTGTGGTTCGCCCACAGCATTTAGCTGTAGTTAGCGATATTTCCCTGTGGTTCGCCCACAGCTCTTAGCAATAATAACCTATCCTTAACTGTGGTCCGCCCACAGCACTCCCCGATCCCTAACTGTGGTTCGCCCACAGCATGTGTAAATAGGTTACTAATATTTTTGTGCTTTATATGACTATATTTCAGGTGTTAACAGTGTAGTAGTGACTAATACGTGTGTCTTGAATAACGGTATTCTAGGTGATTGTAGTTTTAGCGATTACTAATATTTGCGAGTTTTTATATAACTGTATTGTAGGTGTTGGTTACTAATACTTGCGTGTTTTTATTTAACTGTATTGTAGGTGTTTGTGTGAAATAATCATATTTTGCAGCTTAGCTTCTTCCAGTTCCCCAAGATCGACGTATCCGTCCTAACTGTGGTTCGCCCACAGCGATCCGTCCTAACTGTGGTTCGCCCACAGCACTCCGTCCCGAACTGTGGTTCGCCCGCAGCGCACCTTTCTTTCCATATAGAGAACAAATATGGCAATGATGATAACGTGGGTTCGATTGTTGGAGATTTTATATCTCATACCCTTTGTCTGAGCCATCCGTTCTCTTTTCAGAATATTAGTTCGCCCTTTACTGTCGATTCGTTTGACATTTCGACCCCTGGAACCACAACCCAGCGCGACTAGCTATCCGGCAACCGGGTCAAAACCGGACTCGCGTATTTTTCGAACGCCTCACCCGGAAATACGTCGTAAGCTGACTCTTAGCTGAACCATGTAGTGAGATGGTTTACACTGAAATACAGTATTACAAAATAATACATTTGTTTATAATTTGTGTTGTAACAATTTAGCAATAACTTAAGAATATGAAGTTTCCTTTGATTATGATTGTAGTGAGAATTGTTGTTGCCAAGATTTCTTCATAGATGGCCACACACAAGGTCGTTGCCAAATTGATGCTAGTAAACTTGCCAAACAAGTTTGAATTACTCTCTGATTAATATCTTGTGCGGTTTCTAATAATCTGGGAGAAAATTACCTAAACAGGTTGCTCAAAGTGGGTGGAAAAGTCCTCTAATGCTCTTTCAAACTCCAAGGATTTGAGGATTTTTTTATCCAGCCCAACAGCATACTTTGTTAAATAAAGATATTATGTAGTGGAAAATTGTTTCATACACTTTTAGTATAATCTATTTGGCAAACATGGTATATCCAGAAGCCTCCATGCCCAGTGTAGTGTATTGCATGGGAACGACGTTTCCATTCCACTTTGCTTAAAACATTTTTTAGATGTTGGTGAGCATTTCCACATAGGTAAACGTACACCCCGTCAAGTCAAGAGCAGAAGAATAATTTTATAAACCATTTATTTTATTAATTTGTAGTTAAATTATTTCTTGGAAGCCTGCAATGTACATCTTAAATTATAAATAATTGTTGAAATACTTCTTTCTAATACTGAGTAAATATTAAACTAGTAATTATTTTGTTCAAAACTCACGTGGAAGCGTTTGTGCTCTCTGACGTTTTCACCTTTTCCTCACTGTGAGTCTTCTTATCCATGTTTTCACTCTGGCAAAACAAATTTCTAAGTTAACAAAATTCACATTAAATCAAAACAGTTGAGCAGTAAACCTGACAACACATGACTGTTACTAGGTAATCACTGGAACCAATTCCACAGCTGATTAGTTGATTGTTTTGTAAACAAGGTGTCACAAACGGGTATTCAGGAAGGTGTTGTTCTACTGACTGACGATATCAGCTGTTATAGGTATAATTCTGCAGAAACCAGCTGATAGCTGGGGACTCTGCTCCAAGGCCATCAGGTGGGATGGCCTTAATCGTTGACCTCTCTCAATCTTTTGGTGATAGAGATGGCCAAGGGAAAGGTGGTACTAGAAATTTGACCTCATCTTCCTTTTATAATACAAATTTGAGTAATCCGTTGTATGGTTATTGTCTGTGCTGTGCCCAATGTGTCAGACTGACTAGAAGGAAAATACAAAATCTTAATCACAATAAAAACAACAAAGTTATACAACCTAAATAGTGTATATATTTTGTGAAAAAAAATTATATATAGACCCTAATTTTAACTTACTTAAAATTGTGAATGTATAATGTTAAATTGGAATAGATCCTGTAATATTAATATTTGTAATATCTGTAATATTTTATTACAAATTTGTATTTGCGGTTAATAAAAAAATGTGTGTCAAAAATATTATTTGATTTAAAAAATGGAGGTTTCTTAATAATTGTTTGCTCACTTGTGAATGTATATCAAACCTTGGCTTAGTATTATCATTGACTAAAACGTCAATTGTACAGTATTATTATTCTTCCTCCAGTTGCTAGCAAAAGATAACTTAGCTAATTGTGGAAAAACTTGGGCAGCCAGATTATCAGTACCGGTAGTGCCAATTTGACACCAAAAAAGTTTTTTGATTAAAATAATGTAACCAAAAATGATTTACTTATTTGTGAATAGTGGTGAAAATTAGTTTATGCACTAGTCCTTCTGTATCTTGTATACTCCTCTCAACGTTCCTTTATATTTAGTTTTTAAAAAGCTGTGATTTAATAAACAACAAAATGTCAAAAACTCCAATGATAAATTTATTTTACTAACCTTGGGCTTCATCTGTTTGGAGTTTGTTCTAAAAAAAATGAAATTTTAAAGGTCACTAAATGATTTCAACAAACTCACTATAAACAATATTCCGCTAAAACTTTACGACACTTTGACTGGAAACTGATATTTATCTGATTAACTGACCAGTTCATCAGATAAATAACTGATAGTACCTTATCAGTGGCTTGATCTGATCATACGTAATGATACAACAATGATCATACATACGTCAGCTGGTTTTAACACATCACTGTCAAAGTGTTACGTTTATTTTGAACTCTTGAATGAAGATAAGGAGGATTATATGCTTAGTACTGTAATGCCTCATATCTTGAGAACATACTGATCTGCAGAGAGTTAATAAACGATGTATTAGTGACTATGTCTTACAGCACACTTTTCCAATATAAATTCACATACATAAAGAGTTGAGATTTGTTTCACTGATCAAGCTCAATCCTTGAACACGGGAGTTTTAAAATTAAAATTTTCTTAATTTTCTGCATTACTGGTACCAATAACCGTACAAAAACACTTTGATATACTAAACTACTTGTTTTTTAAGGTGTTTAAAAAGGTCTAGAGATGAATTGGGAAATGTTGTGTTTTGAGGGTCAAAAATGAGAAAAACCATTTTTTACCTTATGAAACGGAGGGATTTAAAACCCCATTCCCATGGTCCGAGCATGTTAAAAATGCTAAATAAAAGTGTTCCAGACGTTTTTTTCATAAATTCAGCCGTTTTTGAGTAATTTAAGTTAAGAACTTAAAATGGCCGCCATTTTGAAATTTTTAAGTTGAATCAAGATTTCTTTTCTAACATGTGTCTTTTTTTTCTTAACATACATACCAAGTTTTATAAAGATCGGTTGAAAAAGTAGAAGATAAAAATGTTTATGTAAAAAATACAATGGTGGATATCTGGTTAACGAAGTGATTTTGGAAAAGCTGTTATCCTTGATTATCTCTTTATTTTGGCCCAAGGAATAACCAAGTAAAATATGCCCCCACCTTTTTTGAACACCCTGCATATGAGGGACCTCAAAACAAAAAAGTAAATCAATCCCAGGTCCAGGTCTTACTATGAGTACCACGGTATAATAGCTTATTATATGGGAAATTCGCTAAAATTTTAATGGGGTGTATTTACAATTTTGCCAAAACCCTGTATGTAACATTGATTATTTAAAAAAACGTTATTGTCTCTAAATTATATATGTCATAGTGACAATTAAAATGTGTTTGAGTAAGTTTTAAACAAAATTTTACTATTCAAGGCCAATCATAGAAACTGATAGATCATAAGTAGGTTTACTTGATGTAAATAGATGACTCAGAAATAACTGTGTTGTGATTACCTCAATGAATGAATGCACAAGCACATGAGTTAAACTGATTTATCAGCAGTTAACCTTTATAACCACTACAAGCCACTTACTTCAGTAGTCTACATTTCATCGTTCACTTAAAATACTGCATTGTATGAGTGAATCTTATTAATCTCAAGCTTGTTTTTGTGTGTTCGATGCTCACTAATCCCTTAGTGTGTAGATGACATCAAAATATTTCTCTATAATTTAATGCAGATTTTACAGTATGCAATTTAATTCGTGGTCATATTACCTATTAGAGGACAAGTCATAGTTAACAAATATTGAATTTGGTTTGATAGTTTTAAAGCTAGTAAAATAACACAAAAAATACAAAACAACAAATCCAGTGTTACCAAAAATAAACATTCTCTTCCATAACTTTATTGCCCTGACAAATATTTTCCTGGTTTGTAATGTCTGACAGCCAAAACTGAGTGGAAACTTTTGAACTTCCGCAACTCTAAGAAATGATATACGACTACATGAGACTTGATAGTACTCCATCAGAATATTTATTTCTCTACATACACATTTATTCAGGTAACGGTACTTATAACAAAATAAGGGCTCTCTCTATTATATCCTTTTCTAAGCCGCCCTACGATACAGACTTTAACGATTGAGGTACAGTATCATGTTAAAGCTTATGATCTAGCCGACCTGGGAATGGTAATTAAAAAGGTCCTTTAGAGCTTTGCTCCCTTTTTCTTTAGAGTCCATTTTCAAAGATCAGTTCAAATATTCAGTTATGCTGTCTTACTTTTTTATGGTTTGTGAATTGTAATTTAACATTTTGTTTCTTCAGTTGAATGTTTAACCTAAAGAGTCAGATTGTAAACAATAGACAAAAAAATGTCAGATTTCTCGTTGCAGCCATGGAGACCAATCAATATTTACTTCTGAAATCCTCACCTCAGAACATTAAAAGCCAAAAGGACAAAGCCCTCAGTCAGTATCGAAGCTTGAATAGTCCTAAACTGATCCTTGGTATGATAGCTACATTTTTGTAAAATTTAAGCCCAAGTCCGTTTTGTAGTTTTTATGTGATTGAGTAACACACACACAGACAGACACCATTAGATTTTTTTATATAATATAATATAATACGAGGCATATTTTTTAAGTAATTACCGTTTTTAAATTCCTCTGTTTCAGCACTGCGATTGGCATTTTCAACATTTGCACTGTGTATGGGCATCTATTGGTAAGACCTGGCCGGAAATTCGAGAACAATCGGCCGTGTTTACATCCGGTATCGAGCATTCAAAATGGTGCCGCCAATTGAGACTGCCGCCGGCTGTGATGTGCGTATTATATTATAGTATATAAAAAAATCTAATGGTGTCTGTCTGTGTGTGTGTTACTCAATCACATAAAAACTACAAAACGGACTTGGGCTTAAATTTTACAAAAATGTAGCTATCATACCAAGGATCAGTTTAGGACTATTCAAGCTTCGATACTGACTGAGGGCTTTGTCCTTTTGGCTTTTAATGTTCTGAGGTGAGGATTTCAAAAGTAAATATTGATTGGTATCCATGGCTGCAATGAGAAATCTGACATTTTTCTGTCTATTGTTTACAATCTGACTCTTGAGTTTAAAAATTCAACTGAAGAAACAAATGATAAATTATTCACAAACCGTAAGTCAAGTAAGTCAGCATAACTGAATATTCGCACTGATCTTTGAAAATTGACTCTAAGATAAACGTGAGGGGGCAAAGCTCTAAAGGACCTTTTAATTACCATTCACAGGTGGGCTAAATAAATATAGTGAAATAAATATTCTGATGGAGTACAATCAAGTCTCATGTAGTCGTATATCATATCTGAGAGTTGCGGAAGTTCAAAAGTTTCCACTCAGTTTTGGCTGTCAGACAAAGACATGTGTAGGCTATTTTGAGCCCAGTCAAGTATATACTTAATTTACACCTACTTGCCAGCAGGCATTCATATAGACTCAAGTTTATCATTGTGTTGGTGTCATTTCGATTGAATAAATTAAAGATATACTTACAAAAAATATTATAATTTACTAGCGAGGCAGTGCAGTTAAAGATTTTATTGTAGTACTACTATGAACATTTTTATTGTGTTGGTAATTAAGTCATAAATTAAGAAATTTGCTGTTAATCTTTAAACTCATCATGTTGATTGAATTTTAATTTATTATGATTAACATAATTACAGTGAAAAATGCAAAGCTTTAACATAAAGAATAAAAGAGTATTATTATTTAATTCTCATCAAAATGTGGAATTTAATATACTTTATATAATAAAACTATATTAAAAATTAAAATTTAAGTTTACCAAGTTGTTGCCTGGTTCTCGAGAACCAGTGATAATCTTCGAAGTTAGTGATTTTGAAGCTCGATTCAAAATTCACCAATATGTGAGACGTCATCAGGAGCAAAGTTTTTATATTTAAATTTTTGTTCACACAATACTACACGATTTACTATTTACATATAGCTATGTACATTATGATGTATAATGTGAATAAATATTAAAGTAACTGTACTCCTGATGATGTAACACATAGGTAGTAATGAAATGTTAGTCGATCTGAAAATCACTAAACTTCAAGAACCTGGCATACACAAGGTATAAATACATTGTTGAAATTAAAAATAGGTACATATTAAAAAAATCTAAATAATGAAAGCCTAACACATAAAATGGTGTTATGATGAAATGTGATAAGCGGAAGAAAATTACAAAAAAAATAGAAGAACTATTCATTGGTTTTTGTTTATGTTTGGTTTACAATAATTTATAATCTTAACTGTTATTTTTAAGTGTTAAGATGTATTACTTTAACATTTTATTTAAAATTGGTAAATATGATAAATTTGTTTAAAAATAAAGTACTTACCTTATGCAGGTGTATGACCTCTCCATCAAAGTTTTTTTGCGAAATTTTCTCCAGTTTATATAAACAATCACTATTTCGTCCGCACCTGAGACCAAGCTACATTACACGTGATCACCAGAAGCTCACTGGTTCAAACAATGGCCACTAAACACTAACCTTCCTCTAGTGGGTCCAATGCCAACTTTTCCTCCATTAGCTTTATACACTGTAACACTTACTAATGCCAACAATGTAGAGGCAATTTGATCACATAATTGGTAACACTTGTGTATACTGTATGCCACAATGTGTTTAAGTGAGTCGGTGGCTCAGTCGGTAGCATCGCCGACATCGGGCCCAAGGCAGCGATGTCGTGGGTACGGATCCTGGTCACTGCCAAAAACATTTTATCACTATCACCTTTGTACTGTACCGGCTCACTCCTTGCTTTGGGCGGTTAGTCTATGTGGACGGGAAAATGGAAGGTTAAAAGAGATAGCCAAACTCAAAATCAAATACGACTTTCAACACTTTGTAATGAATTTCCCCATAGGGAATAAGCTATTACCTTATGGTCTTATGGTAAGTCTTATGGTAATACTTAGACCCAGGACCGATTTACTTTTTCGTTTTGAGGTCCTCAGAGGCCAAAAACACCCTCCGTTAAAATTCATATAGGTATATATTTGTCTGTTAGCACAATAACTCAATAACTCGAGCAAAAATTATCCGATTTTGATGAAATTTGGTACTATAGTGTAAAACTATGTTTATTCTAACGAGTTTGCGAACCAGTACTGTAAGATCAGACTAGGAACGGGGATTTATGCAAATATAGTTTGCAATTTCTTTCAATACTGTTGTGTAGAGCAAAAAAAGAAATAATTTAGTATATTGAAGCTTTTATTGTAGGTCTAACGATCGCGGAGAAAATTTAAAAAAGTGTAAATCAGTGTTGCAGTTTGCTTGTTTATGGATATATTTTGATTAATTTTAGTAATTTTGTTTATTTCATACTAAGCTGTCAACCTTCCCTGTAGCAGCAAAGCTAAGTACTCATTATAATAAATGCTTTTTAAATCGAAAATAAATCTGACAGTTTTAATAAACTAATTTAGTGGAAATCTAGCCAGGTAAATCGTTATTCGCTTAGTCTGTAGGCTTTCTGCGGCTGGGGTATTTATGTTTACACTTACTGTAATAAACAGTAGTAGCAAACTGACACATACTTTCTACCATTAGTTTGTCAAGAAAAATAAAAGGGTAAGCGGTGGTGTTACTGCACAATTTTATAGGAAAGATCACAAAAATTTCAATAACTTTATAACTGTAGTTTTTGCAGAACTGGAGGTTGTACCATTTGGTAAAAAAATTCTGTGAAATTTTATGGGTTTTTATAGGATTTGTTCAACAAGACAGATAAGATAACACACTTACCGGTGCTCAATAAATTCAGATCTAAAAAAATGTAATACCGTACTTCAAATTTAGGACCTTACAAAGTTTTATTAATTTTTAATCCTGTATGGCAATTAATTGTTTCTAATAAGTCAATGGATATTCTCTACTCAAAAGTTGTAGCCACTTTTACAATGAAAAAGAATATAGGTCGATAAAACAACTGACAGAATGTTCTATAAAATGTAATTTTGTATAAATACAAATTTTTCTATGATAAATGGTTGAAAGGACAATTTATTGTAAACCACAACATATTTATAGCACATTATGTGACTTATTGAATTACATTTTCTCTCTGAGTAAAAAACTGAGAAAACTTATCCATATACCTATAGGATTGTAAACCTTATTGAAAATAAATTTCTAAGATATGTTTTATACAAGCATCACATTTTTATAAAATATAGATCATGCCCCAAGAGTTATGAGTTTTTTTATGTAAAAATGTGTTACCTTCTTAGGAAATTTTTAAAAAGTTACTTACTTCTTCTGTGCTAATTCAGTTGAAGCATATCTTAGTCATTGGATTTTTTACATGTTTAAAGGGTTTTGTCTTGTGTTTCATCTGACAATCCATTGTAATTTAGTGAGAATCAATCGTCCAAAGATGATTTTTAATGTTATGTAACTTGCATAAACTTTTTGTTAATCACTCAATCTGCTCTCCAATAAAGAGTTCAACCAAGGCCCCACTAGAAAAAACAGGCCATGCTGCAGCACGGGCAGCGCAACACTACGCCACAGTGGTGGATAGTTGTACTAAACTCTTACCATTAAATTCTTACAGACAGCCAGCTTGTTTCTTTACCTAATGGTGATGGCAATGAATTTATCAATGAAATCTATCCACTAGTGTGACCTGCAGCTTGGCCTGTTTTTATAGTGGGGCCTTGGTTCAACCATAGACAATAGAGTAAATATAGACTGTCAAAGAAAGGTTTTGCGATCTGCCGCTAGAGCGTTATCGCCGTTCGATATCGGTTATCGGTATTCTATTCGGTTTCATCGTCGACTACTCGCCAGCTGTTACCAGCACTACCACTCTTGCAAACGAAATGCTTACTATATCTCAATTATCTTTCTGCAATCGCGTCAAAATCATGTGTTGTGCCCTTAAATATATTAAATTAAAACCCATTTTGTTAGAGCCACTTCTTTCATTGTATTTAATAACAAAAACCAAAACTTAAAGTAAACATGAAACAATAATATATATCAAACCAGATGACAAGCAAATAAACAAACTATTAATGTAGACCTCAGGACATCTCCCTCTTAAAGTTCTTCTATGAACCTCTTAGCAGGTTTAACAATTCTGGTAGGTCTGTGTATGGTTGAAGAATGATTATGTAGGTTGGATCTTGGTGTATGTGTCTGTCTTGGAGGAAGTGTCTGTGTATGGGGGTTTTCTTTATCAGGATTTTCTCTTTCTCCAGAGGAGAACATAGGGAATAAGAATTTTGAATTCCTGATATATCTTCCTCCCCTTTTTGTTTCAACATTATATTTCCTGTTCTCTAACTTCTCCTTGATTACCCCTTCTTCTCTTCGGTCCGATACCCAAACTTTAGCGTTTTCTGGGTAATCCTTGACCTGGGTCACTCTATGTCTTTTATTGAACTGTTGTTCCTGTTTCCTCTTTTCTTCCATTTGTCTAAGTCTATATCTATTGTGATTTGGAGTGGCTGGAAGTAGAGTTGCTTTATTCACTGGTAGATTTGTTCTTAAAATCCGTCCCATTAATAGTTGTGATGGGCTATAACCACATTCCTTTGGCGTTGTATTGTATGCCAATAAGCCCAGATGTCTATCCTTACACTTCTTTAATATGTTTTTGAAGATTTTCACACCACTTTCAGCTTGACCATTGCACTGATGATGGTATGGTGAACTAGTTTCCACTGTGAAGTCGTATTCTGATTTGAATAGTTCCCATTCTTCTGATAGAAATTGCACACCTGAGTCTGATCTAATTGACTCGGGGATGCCATGCTTTTCAAACGATGTCTTCATTGATTTAATCAATATTGCCGTTGAACAGTTAGATACCTTATATACATCGATGTATTTGGAATAATAATCCATGAGAATTATGTATTTATCATTGTTGAATTCACAAAAATCTACTCCGATTTTCTGCCAGGGTCTTTCAGGAACCTCTGTAGGAATCATAGGATGGCGAGGAGGCACTCTGTCAGCAATGCATTGCGGGCAATAGGTTACTTTTTGTTCGATGTGATGATTAATTTTGGGCCACCATACTGACATTTTAGCCCTTTCTTTACATCTTTTAATACCTTGATGACCTTGATGAATATTATCTAACATTTCTTTTCTCAAGGATGGAGGAATCACTATTTGATTATTTCTCATAAGTATATCTTCATTGATCGACAATTCTGCTTGATGATCCCAGTATTCTTTTAATCTTTCATTTAATAGGTTCTTATTTTTAGGCCATCCTTGAATTGTAATATCTAACAATTCCTGTAATTCTTCTCTTTGATTTTTTATTATTACATCTAATTTATTAGATGATACTGGGATTGATTGAACTACTGTTCTTACACATGCTTCTGCTTCTTCTGCAAGTTTCTCAATATCATCCTCTTCAGTTTTGTTGATTGGCGCTCTTGATAACGTGTCGGCAGTTGTTAATTGTTTTCCTGGTACCCACAATATGTCGTACGAATATCTCATTAATCTCATTTTAAATCTCTGAACTCTTAGCGGCAGTTCATCCAAACCCTTACTACTTAAAAGAGGAATCAGAGGTTTATGATCAGTTTGAATTTGAAACTTCAATCCTGTTATAAAATTTTTGAAACGTTCACATGCCCATACTATTGCATACGCCTCCTTTTCAATTTGTGCATATTTCTGTTGAGTCGGTGTTAAGCTCTTTGATGCGTAGGCCACAGGTTTTAAATGTCCTTGATGTTCTTGCAAAAGTGTTGCACCCAAACCATAAGCTGATGAATCGGCCGAAATTATAGTTCTCCTTTTCAAATTGAATGGTATTAAGGCAGGAGTTGTTTGTAAACTCTTTAAGGCTGTTTTAAATGATTGTTCTTGACTAGGACCCCAAACAAAAGCCCTATCTTTTTTTAGTAGTTCCCTCAGTGGTTGAACGATATCAGCAAGGTTTTCTATGAATTTTCCGACATGATTCAACATCCCTAGAAATCTCCTAACACTTCCCACATCACTGGGTGTGGGGAAATCGATTATTGCTTGTAAGTGTTTGGGATCTGCTTGAATCATACCAGAAGAAATAATGTGACCTAAGAATGAAATCTTTGTTTTTCCTATTTCACACTTGTCATTTAAGGTAACTCCTTCTTTTTCCAATTCTTGTAACACTTGGTCTAGTCTGCTGTCATGCTCGGGTTTACTGTCTCCGGTAATTAAAATATCATCCATATAACACAAAATTCCTGGGATGTCTCCAATAATACTTTTCATCCTGTTACAAAATATTTCCGGGGCTGTTGAAATTCCGAAGGGAAGTCTTTTAAAACAAAATCTACCAAATGGTGTTATAAATGTTGTCAATTTTGAGGAACCCTCATCTAGCGGTATTTGCCAAAACCCCGAATTAGCATCTAATTTTGAATACCATTTGGAATTCCCTAGACATCCAAGTAAGTCCTCAACAGTATTAAAAACGTTATTTTCTCTCTGTAAATGGTTGTTTAAAGCTGAAGGATCAATGTGTAACGAGTTATTTTCCCTAGGGGGGTATATTTTTGCTATTTGGCCGCGCACCGATTGTTGAGGTGAGCGAGCGGCGGCAGCGAGGCTAGCGAGCGCCCTTTGACCCGGCTTATCAGTGCCGATAAGCCTGGGATATCCTAGATCTTCAGGACAGTATAGGACGAACATTAGAGTGGTGGATCCCGTACAGTGAAGAAGGCAGTGTTGGTGTCCAGTGGAGACGGCCGGCGTACGTGGGTGGTACAGAGAAGTGTACGGTGTCGTGTGATATTGGTGCTCAAGGAGTGAGTGTCGGCATTCAAGTTGGGTAGTGAGTCAGTAACCCACTTGTGGTGAGTGGACGACGTTTTATTATATTTTGGTTTAAGAGAGTTAGAGAGTTAGAGTTGTAACCGTGCTAGTCAAAGCCTGACGATAGTTAGGATTTATTTATTAGTCAGGAATAATATTAAAGTATATTCCTGACGGTTCTGGGCAGGTGCTAGAGCGCAAATAATATAATTTATTGACTGTAGTAGTTATTATTTTGCGTTGTACCAAGAGTTAGTTATATTACTAATAACTCTGAGGCCCGACAAACCTAGGCTGCACGATTTAGCGTGCGTAGTTGGAAACACGTGGCCAGTAGGCTAGTAGCTAATATTATTAGCCTATTAACAGAAGCCCAGCTAAGTAACATAAAGTTGGTAGTAGCAGTAACAGTAGTAGGGTTGTTATTGTATATTCGTTCGATTATTTTAATTTAATGGTAGTCCAACACGTTATCTTGGTAGCTTGGATAGCGGAGTACCGGCTATCAGATAATATATCTATCTAGTGTTTGGAACGTAGTTAATATTTATTTATCTGCTACTAAGTAGCTCAATATTTTAATAGTGCAATTGCCATTCAGTTTTGCTTGTTTGGCTTGGTATTTATTGAGACCAGCTACTAGTGGTGTAGTCACTCTACCTATAGTGCACTTGTATTGTTATCTGGTATTATTATTGAGCGAACCGTTTGATTGTTAGCTTGGGCAATAGAGTTGTGTATTGGATTATAGTGGCCTAGTAGACCCCGCCTGGTGATAACTCGTGTTGTGGTTTTTATTGGCCAGTCGTCGTGTTACTCACCGTGTTTTAGGCACTCTGGGCTTAACTATTGGATAGTTAGGACGAAGCCCGAGTTGCGTAGTCAGCAACGACCCCCTAGGAGTGTGGAGAATCGGCGTAGGCCTGGTAGTGATTATTGCACGTTTGTTTTGGTGACTTGTTTTTGACTTGTTCACAGTGCCCGTGTATGAGCCAGTCCTATACCGGTTAGACCCGGCTATTGGCCTAGTGGTTTCCCTGACCTTATCGCAGACCCTGGAACTTTACCCAGCCATTGTAGGCTGAGCTATCCCCGGCAAACGGTTGCGACTGCTGCACTAATATTTAATATTTTTTTTCCAGTGCAGAAAGTAGCGTCGCAAGATGGCGCCTGCGAACAGGGACTGAGGTTGGCAGTGGTGCTGAGTCGCTGACGTATTAACGGCGCCCGAACAAAATAATTTTATTTGTGCAGATTTGCTGCGGACTTGTGCAGATTGGCTGCGGACCTGAGCTGTCGAGCAGAGTTTTAGGCAGACCTGCTGTGATTTTATAGTCGGTTGGGTAGGCCTAACCTGTTTTCTGTTACAGTGTGGTGTGTTGTGAACCCTAATTTATTTAGTGGTTGTATACATAGATATTAGTTAGTAATTTTAATTTTGCTAATTAATTGAATTTTATCATTGAATATTATTTGAGTGAGAACCCTTGTTGTGTATTTGTGGTTTGACTTTCACACCTATAATTGGTTTGATTTATTATACCGGTGTTAAATATATTTTAATTGGTTACGCCCTTATTTTTGCGGATTTGTCGTGGTGTTTTGAATTTTAAATATGGTTGTGACTACGAGTACGACGTCTGTGCTGGGCGGTACGCCTATTACGTCTGCTATTGCTACGACGAGTTCTGGGGTTAGCTCCGAACTGTCGGTGATGACGACATCGTCATTGTGGCCGGCGTCTTCGCCCGTTTGGCCGACAATTTCTTCAGTAGTGGCTACGACGGTGACAACTTCGTTGACCTATTCCGCGCCAGCGACTATGTCCTTGGGGTCGCAGCCCCGGGACAGTCGCGTGGGTTGGATCTATGACCTCTCGAAAGGGGAGCTCATGAGAACGATGGACCAGTATGGTTTGGTGACCACTGGTACTTCTGCGGAATTACGGCAGCGATTCTCGTCGTTTTGGAAGCAGCGGAATGCCCGTCGGTACAGCGATGATAGGCTGTGTACAGCTGGGGCTGCTGCACCGACATATTTACCGCCCGCTACTACAACTGTGGAGCTTCCTAACCCCCCGAGAACCGTACCTCAGGTACTGGGTAATACGGAATCTAACAAAATAGAGATAGGGGAACTTAGCAGGGAGTTAGAGGCGGTCAAAGAGATTCTTGGGTTGTCTTTGGAGACTGATACCCGGACTCTTCGAGAACAACTTGCATTGGTGGTGCGACAGGCGAGGGGCTCGCCGAGTAATGGGGTCGGCTATGGGTTCGAAAGACCCGCCAACCCTACGTCACCTGTTGTGGCTGCTCCAATGCCTACCTTTGGGTTACCTAGTAGACCCGAGGGATGGCAGCGGCCCAATGATAGTTCTGAGAGACCAGCCCGGCCTTCGAGCTTGGAGCTACCTCGAGGCTCGGATATGCTCTCAAATGAGGCCAGCAGGGTGGAGCTAAAGGATTGCTCCAAAGTATGCAACACGGTACGGAAGTGGGGTTTAAGGTTTGATGGCCGACGAGACCCTGTGTCGTTCCTGGAGCGCCTTGAAGAGCTGATGGTCTCGTACTCTATAACATCAGAAGACCTGCTCAGAGCGCTGCCGGAGCTGTTGCAAGGCTCAGCGCTTCTATGGTACAGGAATTGCAAGGAGCTCCTGTATTCCTTTGAAGCTTTCCGGCGTCAGTTTGAAATCCAGTTCTTCCCACCAGGATATTGGAGGAACTTGGATGAGGAGATCCGGAAAAGGACACAGGGTGAAGGCGAGCACTTCCGGGACTACGTTGTTGCCATAAGTACCTTGCTTAGGCGTAGCGGTACGTTGTCAGAGCATGGTAGATTAGACTTGATCTACAACAACATGCGACCTGAGTACAAACTCATGGTGCGACGGCGGGACTTCCGCAATCTGGCCGAGATGGTTGAGTTGGCCGAAGACTACGAGGCCTATCTGCGAGAGAAGGCGGCCTTTAGACCTCCTCCTTCTCCGAACGTAGCGCTGGTTT